ATTGGTGGCTGGGTGGAGGCATTTAGTCAACCATCATTCACTAAGTAGCTATTAAGTGATTATTATAATCTACCTTCTAATCTCACAGTATGACTAATTTGATGGGGTGGAGAAAAGAGACAACTGAGTGTAAAGTCAGTCAATTCACCAAGATAGGAAATTCTGGAAGAAAAGTGAATTTGGAGGGGAAATCTCAATTTGAAAACATTACTTAAAAACCCAGAAATTACTAGTTCTTAAAGACCACCATAATTAGGCATGTGTACGTAGTTGAATGGTGGTGGTATGATATTGTAGAAAAGCAGAATAAAATTCTGTGTGGATTGTGTTGGAATCAAAGAAAACAGGCCAGGGTTGTCATGAATATCAATAAAGCTTTATAACAATACAATTCATTATCATTGTTTGGATTAATATGTAATAATTACACACTTTTTACATTATGAAAATAAGTCATAAATAGTGTAAAAATAATTCTGAAGATCAACTTCTCACAAACTAAGAACCCTGAAACAAGTTTAAAAAGCAAATAAAAAACAAAGTAGAAACTGAACAATTCTCTGAAACAATGCAATTATCTCCAAACTGCAAGTTGAAAACTTTGTGTCTTTTGCTTCAATAATGTCAGCTGGAGAAATTACAATGAAACTGAAATAAAAAAGCAAACGGGGAGAATTCAACCTTTCAAATATTTACATTAGTGAGATAATCAGGTCTGTGCCATATTTACAGTGATAAGACACAACACATTCTTAAAATAATCAATCACATGAGACTGGCCCATGAAACATTCAAAAAATGCAATGTAATGTTTGCCAATTTTTTTTCATTTTCCTCTTATTTTGTGTTTATGTGAGTTTTTGGCAATATAAAAATAGCTGCACATATAGATGAACTTTAAAATGTAAAAAACACAAATAAAAATATAATATTTCCTAAAGAAAAATAAGATACATACATCTTTTAAAAATGTCAAGTTGAATGAAACATTTACAACAGTATAAAGAATATTCACATAAATGTCAACAATATGTAAGACATTCTTTTGTGAATCCAACTCATTAATTTTTCTGAGATATGAGAGAATATCAACTGCATTTTGAGAAACGTTGGTAGTCCTGTCAATAAATCAAACATCAAACATAACAGGTCAGGTTGAAAAAGTCTTCCTTTTCCCCAAGAACAGTTCCATCAATAAGCAGCATAGATAATTTATTCTCTTAAATGTATTTTTAATGAAAATGCCATTAATATGTTTGTTGGTATTGGATTGGCAAAAAACTAAATCTACTAAAACTTCAAGTTAGAGGAGCATTTCTATTCTGGCATATAACAAATCTAGCCAATATGAAGACACGTTAGGGGAAAATGGGAAGGAGTATGGACTGAAGGTCTTTATATTCTAAAATAATTCAGCAGAATCATAATTGGTTAAGCATGTTTAGGACGTGTGATTTTTTTGACAGGTTGTATCACATGTGATTTCTTCTTTTTGGAAAGATAATGTTCCTAGTGGACCTTGACTTCCTAGAGATAGCAGGGTTTTTATTTGTTGAAGTTAGAAAATTCTATTTTTAGTAGTATTAAATATTAATATAATTTGATTATCAAGAAATAGAGGAAAAACAAGGTTTCAAATAGGTAAAGCTATGCTGATTTGATCATTTTCCAAACACACACATTGTGGACAAAGGACATGTAGTATAAACTACAGGATGCATAAATTCTTGTCCCATTAGAACATCATATGCACAAACTGCAAATTCAAAAATAATACCTTTCTATTGGTACAAATGAAAGGCATTCTAATGTTCTCTATAAACTCAGATGATAAAGAAAACTCCTCCAGGCCTGCTGTTGAAAATGCAAAGTGAAAACTGGAAGAGTAGTGTAGGCGTATTCATGCAACCGCGTAGAGTGTACAGACTCCTCTATCACTGATTGTTATCAAGTTTCATCAAATTATATAAGTTGAAAAGATGAGTCGGTGAAAAAGAACAAAAATTGATAAAGGCACAGTATGTATAAAATTAACATGAAACAAAGGGACCCATGATCCAAGTAAAAACACATTATCTATAGGCACACTTTACATTTAAGAGAGGATGGTCATTGAACCATAATTAGAGCAAATTCATGAATTTTAAAAGTAAAATCACACACCAAGTTTAGGAATGCTAATAATCAGAGAAATGAAATTATCCATAGTAGAGTTGCACTGTCCATAAAGAAAGAATAAAATACATTAGCACCAGCCAATGTGAATGGAAAAGTTTTAAAGCTAAAACACGACAATTTGCATCTTTTAAAGATGTTTTCTCAGAAGTAAACTTTGATTTATTTCCAATGTGTCTTTCACATATTTTTCTCAATCCTCTATCCAATAATATAAATTAAAAGAAATATTTAAGAAAGATGTTTATCAACATATATCAACAATCATGATTATTCATTTGGAAGTTATCTGAAGACTCCCTGTATTGATGACAAAATGGATGCATGAACATACTTTAATAATGCAAAACTTTCAGATCATCTAAGGTGTTTAAGACCTCGCAATTCCACTGAATCAGGAGGAGTGACATCATCCCATTGTTTTTCCCAAGGTAATAAATGAAATGTAAGTTTACAACTTCCTTTAATCATGGAATAAGTTGATGCTGTCAAATCACTTAACTCAAAATCAAAAAACTCAATATATACACAGGACAGCCCTGTATTCCTTAAAGGGCCAAGTTCTAAAACTTTGTTTATATGTGAAATGCTTCTCTTTTGATGTCGAGGTATTCTTATCTGAAGCTGTGTAAGTTTTAGGTAGTGATCTCAATACCTCTTTCTACTAGAAGAACAGAAAGAAGGATAGAAATATAACTACCCGACTTTTTTTCAAGATGTTAGTTGGTTTTTCTAAACAGAATGTAGTTCCACTCCAGTTCACTTTTCCCAAACCATTTAAGACGAATCATTTCAGACGTTGAACAATAACTTATCCTACCTATGCCATATGAGGCACTCTATTATTTTCAAAATGCTAAGTTGGCTTGGGGTGTGGAATGTTACAAGAAATACTACCAAGTAGACTAATCTAATAGTTTAAACATGTCTTTAACCTTGGAAACAAGATAAATTAATTTAAAAAGACACCATTTTGAATCATTCAAATCAGCAATGAGCAAATTTCCCCTCCGGTGGTTTAAAAATAAAAACCACAAAAAAAAAAAAAAAAACAACTTATTCACAAAACTAGAAATTTCCCAACGAAATGGCATTGAATCCTTGAAGGAAATTAAAATCTCTACTGAGCTAACAGGTGACTACTATCAACAATGTTTCTCCTCATGTAACCTTTCCACTTAAGCCACTTCAAAACATGCGACCAACTTCTTACTGTGCAAAGAAGTGCTCAGTCTAATATGGTTAGGTAATCTTTGAGCAAGTAGATGAAAACATACTTATGGCAACTGTATTTCACAGCTTTTTGAGAACTTGGGTTTGGTCTGTGAATAAGAAACATTAAAAATATTAAAAAGAAAGAAATCTATAGAAAAAACAATCATAAGAAATAGAAGTGAGCTAATGCTCTAAAATCTTGTCTATCAACTGATAATTTGTTACATTCATCATGTAAAAAAAAGTCAAAAAAATACTGAAAAAAAAATGCTTAACTTTCATGCTTTACAATGATTAAACTGAAATCGAAGTTGCTTTTCTCTTCAGTTATCTAAAACGAGAAAGATGTCATTTTGAGTGTTGGCACCAAATTATGATTTGATGACTTTTCTTAAAAATATTGCTTGTGACAGACGTGACAAAAACTGAAACAAATATTTTCTAAATATTCCTGGGACTAAAAATGAAACCCAAAAAATATTTTAAAAAGAATGGAAAATATCTATTTGTTTCTAGAACTTGTAGAAAATGTTTGGTATGGCTGGATCTTGGAAGGAAAGAAAGCTCTCACATCAACTTTGGTAGAGATTGTACCGGTGAGCTCCTCTGCACCTCCAGGAGAGGGCATTTTGGCTGCCCCTTCTTGGGACATGGTACTTCTTCAGCAATCTGGGTTTAGATGCAATGTACACACCCATTGTCCTCAGGAACAGGGACTGCCATTCCAAGGATCTCCTGTGGCAAAAGAAGTGCTGCATGGCTCTTTCTCCAAAATCACCCAGATTAACACTCACTGGAATTCAATTTATTAGAAAAAAAAAAAAGTCTGCTGTTCTGGGTGTTCGCATTTGTAAACCTCTTTCCTACTTGGTCACATGAGAGATGGCTCAGGATGCTGAACCGGTCCTCTTCCCATGTCTTCACTGCCAAGAGCAGCACCAGGAAAACCCGCGGCAGCAATCAGCTCACTCCCTTGGTATTTCAGCCAAGGTGGCCCCATGAGCTCACAATACTGGAAGCTGGAGATCTGCAGCTGGGACTGCAACTCCCTCAAAATGATAGACCAATTGTGTGCTTTCCACCAACTTATCTCTTTTTGGCAATAAGCCATGGTGTAACCCCCTTGAGATGACAAAAGGAATAAAAGCTCAGATGTAATCAAAGGACTCATAAAGCAGCATGCTAGCATCTGAATTTGCACAAGGACAGGCAGGTTTGGCACACAATCATGCTTTTTTAGTCAGTTTCAGTAGGTGGGGTGGGCACGAATCATTGCTAACAGGGAAGGTGACTGGGGATGTGATAGCAAACTCCAAAGTCAGTCAGTATGGTACATGTTCATAGACTTGAGTCCATATTTGGTCACAATTTCATTGTAAACTATGTCATGGCACTTTTTGTCCATGCAATTCACAAGCCCAAAGTAAGAAAATAGCAAGAACGACCATTCTCTATCACAGATGTCCATATAAATACATATCTTCACATAAGATAAAGAGATACTGATCTAGATTTCTTTGCAGACTTCTCACTGGTTTCATAAATTGCCCAATTTCAGATGTAAGTGGAATAGAGATGGACACGTGTACTACTGTGGACAGGAAGAAGCAGCTCTATGTAAACATATCTCAGACTTGTAAAATCTGCAATTCTGTTTTCAACTATAAATATAGAAAGTGGACCATTATATACACAACTTCATGCTTGGAAGGTTAGATTCATCACTGCAGAAAAACAGACAATAAAAAAAGACAAATACATGGCATTAGTAGTCTTGGATAACAATTCCAAATTAACATTTAAGAAAGCTGGTAGAACCTTGACTACAGTGTTTATCAATGCGCTAATGGAGCACATGGTGTGTGTCCCGGATCTAACTTTCTGAACTCCAGAATATTACAAATTCCATATTAAATTCAACCCCTGTTTTCCTTCACCACTAAGAAATTTTTGATGTTTGTTTCGGTAACTGTTCTGGGAAAGCAGAAAATTTAGAATTTTATCACATAGGTAATTATTAAATTCCATTTTGTATTTTGTGCCTTTACATAACCTTCCAGCATTAAAGTGGAAAAAGTTTAGGATTCTGACCACAGTGATGCTGTTCACTTCACCCACACCTGTCTATGTATAATGGTACGTAGGCCTACTATTCTAGGTTGTGTTTTCCTTTGGCTCTCTCTGTCTTGCTGGAATGTTGGGCAAGGAGGACCTTCCTGCTCTCAGGGCTCAAGCTGTATGACAGGTTCCATTGTGATGTCCTAAGACACCGCAGAGCCCAGGCCCCTCTTTCTGAGCAGCCATTATTTGAAGATATTCCTAGAATAGAAATAAGATCTGAGAGTCTGAGGAGCAGTTTTGAGATGTGATTTCATAAGGAAGTTCTGGGAGATTTCCTTGACATTGACCCAAAGAAAAATTGGAAAAGTAAAATGCAGAGGAAAGTGAAATGATAGCAGTCTCTTTATGCAGCTCCATAGGCATGAGGCGTCTTTCAGCTTATTCATTAACAACATTTACTTTTCTAAGAAACACAGATGCTCTACTAGGTGGGCATAGCAGGTTGTGTGCTCTCTGACTTTGAGAGATGCTATTCACTCTGCTTATGCACACCATCCTATCAATGCCCAAAACTCTTGTCTATAGGAAGCATTCTTTTCTCCAAACTCACTTTTCTCAGATTTCAAATTTGATGCAAGTTTGGGTACCAAAACCAATGTATTGCAAATAAATTTACAGAATTTTAAAGATTCTTTTTTTTTCAGGGTTTAAAACTTCACTTAAAAAAACACCTCTTACTTGGTGTTAAAAAGATTCTGTTAACCCTACCTGGAAAAGTTAAGTTCAGTGAAGTATTAAATCAGATGAAGCACAGGGCTAGAGGTATTTCTCCTAGTGAGTAGTTTCCAACCTATGAATGATGATGGATGATGATAAGCTTAATAGCCTCTTAATACATTCTGCTATTTACTCACTATACAAATAACACTTGGACTAATGCATTATACTTCAATTCTAGCTTAGCAACTCTTTCTGTGTTGATAAATTTAGAAAACTGAACTATATCCAGAAAGAAAAGCAATTTGAGCAAAGATCAAATAGTTCTGCATTAAAAAACACTGAACGTGGCATGCCAAGAAAACTTGTTAGGCACAGTGATTTACACTGCTGCCACAAGCTGAATTTTAAGTCACACAGACATTTGCCAGTGTGTTTACAGTCTAATAAACACAACAGTGTTTATGAGGGTAGCCCACAGAAAATAGGACTTGGTGAACACCCTCGACTGGACTTATTTTTAAAATATCACTTAAAAATTATTGGACTTGACTATTTGAGATAGCTGAGTTAACCACATAAGAAATTTGAGAACATTCCACTTCTCTAATTTTTTCTTTTTGGTGGAGAGGGTTGAAGGAGGTTGGTCAGAGTGGACTTGCATGAGTATGTTTTGGGGTGGGGAGTTAAGCAATACTGAAGTTTTTTCACTGAGATTTTTTTTCTTTGTGTAATAGATTAATAAAATACTTAATCGTATGTAGGATATAGTCAGTGTCTTATGGAAAAATGTGTTTTTCCAGGGAGACTTCTGATTTTCTAACACCAGTCATCTTATTAGCACTTGTTTCATTTCATGAACCCAAATGATGATGAGGCCTTCGCCTCTTGCCATTACTTTTGTGCCTTCACAAGAAAGGAAGGGCTTCAAAAGACAGCCACAAACCAATAGTGACCCCAAACTCTGAAGCTGGATAAAGAAATCGGTTTGCATGCATGCACAGTGACTAAGGGCAGCCGTATGAAAAGGGTAGAATAAACCGATGCCTCTCCCTCTAAGTGTACTAATGACTGGATTAAAAAATCATTATATTATTGGATTACAGGGCAAAGGTTAGAAAGCAAATAGTGATTCCAGCACAGGATGGTATTGCCGATTGTGTGAACAGGGCTTTTGGTGGCCAGAGGATAGATTTCTTAGGTGAAGAAGAGGTCCATATCCTGAGACCCACCTGACCTCAGAAGTGATCCAACTAATTATCTGACAGGATGAAAGTGGAGTATGAGAAGCTACTAAATAAATGACACTATTGAGAGGTTTTTCTTTCCCTGGCCAAGTAGGTGAAACTCTCTAAGAAAGACAGTGCACAGGTTTCCTCAGTGGTGGAACTGCTAACAGGAGAGGCAACCAAGAGTCAAGTGTCTCCTCATGTTTCTGTAATCCTACATAGTTTTGTTAACTTACATAATTCTTCCAATGTTATCTAATTTTAAATTTTTTTTACATAATTTTCCCGATTTTTGTTTTGTAATTGTACATAATTTTGTCAATGAAGCATGCCTGTCCCGAAATACCAACTGAGCTATAAAGTGTTGGAGAAAAAATCTAAAAATGATCAAAGCAGCTCTTATACTGCCCCAAGATCATTTTCACTTTAATGGGCTCCCTCGGTCCTTCAGTAGCACACCATCCTTTATAACTGAGTTCACACAATTACTAGGTAAAGACTTGGTATTTCCTGAGAAGCACAGCATATGCTGCTCTTTTTTGGCTTCAGGTTTTGCTGTTGTTTTCTACTCTCTAACCTCTAAATTCTGTGTCTGGAGAGCTAGACATACCAGTTCTGTGCTCTGAGAAGTTCCTTCACCTCTCTAAATTTGTTTCATTAGTAGGTTACTGCACGGATTAAATGAAATGATTCCCCCCCATGTGAGAGTGCCTATGGCACAGCCATTGTATACAGAACATCCTCTATATAGGACATGGTCCTGCTATATAGGACATGAGTATGCAGTGACTAAAGGCAGCCACATGAAAAGGCTAGAATAAGCTGATGCAGGAAGGGTGCCAATTGAATCAGGTTCTCCTAGATAAATCAAGGCATCACTGAAAAAAAAATAGTGTATATTTTCTGCTTTCTCAGCTTTGTGACTAATATTGACAGGGTTCTACCATATATTGTCATATTGGTCTAAGTAACTGAATATAAGTAGAAAAAGAATCACAATTGGAGATTATGCTGAACAATAGAGGACAAAGAATTTGACCAGCAAACCATTAAGACCCACTGCCCCTTTCCATTCCAAACAAAGGATCAAGTCGGGAAGGTTTCAAATTATGATGTTTGTGAAGAACTGTTTTCACACATCAGCTTAGAAAGAAATCGGCAATAAGTATATTCATCAAGATATTGTGAAGCCGGAATCATTCATGAGTGTCAAATGCAAAAGATCTGTTCTGAATGAAAAGGGCCAGGCCAGGTCAAGAGAAAGGAGAGTACTTCCTTTAGAAATCATTCCATGACACCTACCTTTTGCCAACAGCCAGGCATGGGTAATCCATCTGGGCCCTGTTTTAAAAAGAAAAAGAATTCCTCAGACTCCTCAAAAATGATCGAACTTCATAGTTCACATGCCCACGGGCTTAAAAAATAAAAAAGATTTCTATCTGTTAGGTGGCTTTAGTCATAGCCATCTTTTACTAATTACTATCTCCCTATATATTAAATTTTTTTCCAGTGAGAACATGTTTTAAAAATACATAAATTATAGAAAAAGCTATTCCTAATGTTGGAGAAGAAATTTACAAAGCATGGTGGTCTTAGGATCTACTCAGTTTATAACTTTAGATAAGAAATCTGTACTATATCTCCTCATTTCATTTAAAGACATTCACAATTATCTTTATTAAGTAAATCAAAAAATAACTTCTCTTTCTGGTCACTATGGACTCTGGTTGAATTCATGATAATGATAAATAATCAATGATAAACCATTTCTATCTGAAGTTTATAGCTCTTCACATGTCAATAACTTTTCATATTCCTGTACTGAAAGTAGATATTGCAAGACATAATTACAGGACAGGCAGCCTCGAGGTAGATTTTATAGTAAAGTGTTATTTATGACATTCATCTATTTCTCTATTTAAATTCTTCAGAAGTCAGTTAACATTCTGAATAAGAGATGGGGTTCCTAAATGTTGCAAAATTTATTATTACTTAAAGTGTCAGCATTCTTCAGATACAAATGATATCAATGAGACAGGAAAAGTTGACATAGTATGAAGGCATGCTCATATTTTTCTACAATAAAGTGGTTATAAAATACAACTTATCAATACCAAGCAAACAAAAATAAGACTAGGCACTTCATATTGAGATTTTATAACTGGAATTATTGCCCAAATAACTTTGTTTTCTATTCATACAACCTCTTAAAAGGCTTGAGAAACATGAATTTACCTTTAAAGAATCATGCTTGGAACCGAAGACTCATAAGAACATGCAGCTCAAGAATAACATAACCATACATTTTTTCTTTTTACTTTACAAAAATATATTCTTATTGTCTAAAGGTATAAAAATGTTGAAATAGCTTTATAAAATATTTGGGAAAAGTTGGTAATGCCAGATTGGTACAAGGAGAAGGATAAACCAGTAGAATTTTAGATTTTAGTATAAGGAAGATTTTGAGTTCATGCCAATGGAGAGAAGGGAGTTCTGTCTACTTTAGGAAAGTGAGTTTCAAAAGGAGAGACCATTAAGTTGAAAAGGTTACGTGACAAAGAAGAGGGTTTGGGCTGCAGACTATTATCTTTGTAATCTCAGAAGGTTGGGTTTCTTCCACATGGTCTCATAACTGCATTCCCTCAAATTGGTTAACTCTTGACCATAGAAGCTTTAAATCTGTAGTTTGGTTTTATTTATGGCCTGATAAAAATTTTGTGGAAGAGACAAAAATATCTTCATTTCTTTTAGAGAAAAAGAAAAAAAGTTAAAATGAGGGGTAAAACCAAAAGTTATGGCCTAACAGTGCCCTCTGCATCAACTATTTTTTTCTAACTTAATCTTTAAATATTTATTGAATAAATTAATATTTTAAAGAACACATATACGGTAGTCATGTCAGTGGTGAGATTAATTTGCATTCACTGATAACTCATGCTTTGCTCTTCCCTCTGCAGTTTCAGAAGGAGCCTGTTCATGCACATGCATGTAGTATGTTTATCATGTAAAGCTTGCTCTAGAAAGAACCACTTTACACTGATAGAGATGAATACATAATCAACAAAGGAACTGCATGCAGGGTGGTAGGAAAGAGAAATACTGTACCAATTGGCAAGGGGCATCCAGCCCATCCAGGCCAGGCTGGCCTGGCTCCCCTTTTTCCCCCTTAACGCCTCGGAATCCCTGTTTGTGAAGATTAACTCATAATGTTACTAACGCAAGAATTCACTTAAGCACAGATTCTGCTCAAGAAATAACTAGAACAATAAAAGCCTGGGAGAGGAGCAACCTGGAAGGGAAAAGTAACATCCAGGGAAGATGAACAAAGTAACATGGCACTGGGCATAGTCCCATAACAAGGGCTCGTCTTAAAACAGTGACCTTCTCTCCTGAGGGGTGAGCAATAGCACAGGCTCCTCTTCAGAGCCTATAGTCAGATTCCAGCTGTACAAGAAATACTTGAGATTAAAGAAGCCAGGTAGAGCTTGTGGCCAGAGACAAGATGTGGGAACATACCAAGATGGTCTGAGATGCTTCTTAGCATCTAAAAGTCCATGTTAAATGAGGCTACTGCTCCCTCCAGCTTGCTCTTCTCCCATGTCATCCCCTCACACAAGCCACCTGGAGACAGTTCATGAGTCAGACATACCAACGGGCAGGGTGCATCTAATCCAGGGGCACCCTGTTCTCCTTTCTCCCCTTTAGGCCCCTTTTTGCCTTTCTTTCCCTTTTCCCCCTGTGGATACAAGGGTTTAAATAAAAGACAGGTTTTATTTGGGAGGGAAATAAAGGTGATTCAAAATATGGCTTAGCCAAGAAAAATCTGGAAGGGCATTTACCACTGTTTTCTGGTTTAGATAAAGCATATTATAATACATAACATACCTGGAGAGCGACAGTGGACTCCGGCAAACAGTCTGAGGGATTTTAAGATAACTCAAAAGATGGCAGGAGACCCAAAAGGCTCACATATCAGCAAGGCAGATCAGTGCCAACTCCCACCACCATGCCACACTCATTGTGAATTAGGGGTTTGTGCCATGGATCTATGGAGGATGACAGATACCAATTGTATTGAAGCCAGTGGGGTAGGTAGAGTTCGGGGGAATAATGGATACTGCACCCCATTTTCAATACCTGTCAACTTTCTTCCTTTCAAATCCTCTAATAGTTGAAAGCTGCATTGAGCCAGAGGAAAAGGAAAAAAATATCAGCAACTTCTACCTTGTTGAAATGTATCCAATCTTATTTTCTGAAGCTTTGATCAAAAAATTCAATGTATTAAAAATATACTTTTATTTCTTTTAAACTTTTTTTTTTAAGAAAACCAAAACAAAGACTTTTATTAAGCCAGGTAAACAAATGTTCAAAGTACTAATTCTTTGCACGGATGCCAATTGTAGAAGCAAGTTTCTGTAAACCTAGGGGTCTTCTTTAATTTTCACTGATCTCATACTAGATATTCACAATGGTAAATGAGTTTCCAGCTTAATCGCAAGGTAATGAAAGCCCCCCCAAATTCTGTTTGATGGAGGAAAACTAGTTTGAACTTGGTAAAAATGAGGGAGGCAGGATAATTACATAGTGGGAATGTAGCCATGGAAATTAGTATTTAGGAATCAAGGTAAAGGTTGTGGGAAATCTGCATGGATCACAGGAATGGAGGAATTAAGGAAAGGAGGCAAAAGGAGAAGGAAGGAAGGAATGCACCTCAGCTGTTTCACATTAACATAAACATCTGTATATTTATGGACAGAATTGGTGCTCAATAGAATACAAAATACAATACGTATTTAAATTAGTACATTCATTCTGCAATCAGGATGGCAGTTGCAATAAAACTGAATAATCTCTGAAGCAAAACAACATGAATATTCAAAGGTGAAGAGACATACACAGAACAGAAACATGAGATATGCATTCAAATTAATACATTCATTCTGACAGACCAAGTGAAAACTCCTCATTCATCTCCTGTGTGCCAAAAAGATTGCATCAGAAGACTCAGAATCAAAAACATTTGGGTTTCTTGAATCTTGGGAAAGAGAGCAAAACTTTGTGTTTGGTTGATCGGGATAAGAGACAAAGTCGTGGAAGGCAGAGTGAGATGGAGCTGGGGTGATAGGAAGTCAGATGGGAGGGGCATTTGGAAGTAAGGTGTTGCTCCTTAGCAAATTACTTGAATGCCACAGCATAAAATTGATTTAAGCTTGTTTGCATGAGCTCTTTCCTCCCAGAAAGCAATGGACTCCTCTTCAAGTAGGTGTGACTGAGACCAGGTGTGTTGGGTGTTAGTTTAGAACTCAGTTCTATTTGGTAAATTAGCTCAGATTAACCACTCAAAAGAGTTGTCAGGATTGTTGTTGTGGTAGGCTAGGAGGTTCATTTTTTATTAATATTTTAGCAAATATCAAGCTCTATGGAAAAGAGACACTATTATACAAGGAATTATGTACAACAGTGATTTGAATTATGCACCACAAAACCATCTCTCATTGTGGAGATAAGCACATGGTAAGTGCTTGGTAATTTTTTATTCCTCATGTCAAAGTATGATATTCATAAATGTTCACATTTAGAATCTAATTTTCCTAAGTATAAAACTTCTAATCATGGAATCTGTATATAGAAATATGTTTGCATGGGTGATTAATATTCTGTAGCTTTGTGCTTTCATAATCTATCACATAGGTAATTTCTTTCTTTCTTTCTTTTGTGGTGTTGGGGACGGACTCCAGAGTCTCAAGCATGCTATTCAAGCTCTCTACCACTGAGCTACACCCCCAGCCCAATACTGCAAATCTCTTACTTATTTAAAAGATCCAAAAATTGAGTACTATATGATGACATATTTTGAGTGAATAAGATTTGGGGCTCATACAACACATTAGGTAAATATAGAATACATACATAAAATCTTTAAAACACCTCGTGCTGACAGTTTTCATGCACAATTTATCTCAAAACATTATAGTTGGCATTTGTAATGCAGAGTCAAATAACTTTTTTTGGTCTCACTTTCCTTGTCTGTGAAATGGGAAATAATAGCACCATTCTCAGGGTGTTCTGTGAGGACTAAAAGGCTGGTCACATGTAGAGCACCTGAGTGCTCAGTGCATATGACAACGGTGCTCTGGATGCCACTGCATGGCATCTCTTACCAATAGAAGGCTGACTGGTGCTTAAGGACTAAAGCATGCACAGCAGTCTGTGGATCCTTCTTTCTGTGACAAATCTCATTTGGCCTTGCTTTCCAGCAGCTGTGAACTTTACAGTTCAAGAGAATCCACTGGGGTTTGAAAACAATGTGTTAAATAGAATAATAGAATTAATCAGAGTGAATTAATCAGAGAAGCAGAATTCCTTTAAATTGGGATTGTGAAAGCCTAATTCCAGTTACTTTAATATTATAGATATGCTTTGTCTGATGTCAACCATTCTTAGATCAAATCAGGTCAAAGATTCAAGTCAAGTACAAACAGGGAAAGAATGAAGGAGAGGAAAGAAAAGAGGGTTTTTAGAATCCATAATCCAAACTTTTCTTTCCATCATAAACTGTCCTGCTTGGTAGTGGCCCCTATAAACTTGAGCTGATGGTCCTGAGATAGAGCCTCCATGCTCACCTCATAAAATATACCAATATCCTCATTTTCAAAAGCCACAGCAATCAGCTCTGAATCTGACAGTGGCAAGTCCCGGTCTCTGTGTAATGGACTTAACTGTGGTTTATCCATCACACGGCTTGTCCTGTTTTTTGAATAAAAAAATTCAAGATACACAACATGTCTATTTCCTGGGAATGTCATAAAGACAAATGAGATGCTGGCTTTACAGGGTTATATGGGCTCAGCCAAAATACCATTGCAGGTTTGTGCTATGTAATTTTATTTTTATGAAACAGAAAAATTCAAACCCCCCTGGACATTTTTCAAAAAAACTGGTGTCAGGTAGTTGAAAGATTATAGCTTGGCTATCTGGGGATTAGATTTTTTTTCCTTCTATGCTAGACAGTGCCCTCATTTCTGGCTGGGTAGACTTCCTTATTCATCTTTGAAAACCTGATTTCTTAGATCAGGCGTCAGTGTGTTTTTGGAGCACAGGACTGAGTCGGAGGAAGCGGCTGATGGAGTCATACAGGCTGAGCGGCAAAGCAGACAGCAGCAGGAGCAGAATCACACAAGACACGGGTCAGGAGGGACAGGTCACCTTTTCTCCCTTTTCTCCTAGGTCACCCTTCTCGCCTCGTGGACCAGGGAAACCCTGGAGGATATAAAAGCAAAACCAAGAGGTCTATTGGTGTAGCAGTGGTAAAAATCACATTGTGGGAAATAAAAATCTTAGGATTCATTAATCTGAACTAAAAATAGCAAAAAATGACCTAACAATCTAACAACTTAGGTCAAATAACACTTAGATGCTAGAAATCTATTATTTCTATCTGTACACAACAGGTTTCTTGCTTCTTCTCCTAAGAAATGTAGCATAATAATTTCCATTCTGACTGGAGAGAAATGAAATCGCAGTATAGTGTTAATTTGCATTTCTCTAATTGCTAGCGATGCAAAATGATGATGTGGGGAAAAAGGCACATTCATACATTTCTGGTGCGACTACAAATTGGTGAAACCACTCTGGAAAGCAGTATGGAGATTCCTCAGGAACACTTGGAATGGAAACACCATTTGACCCAGTTATCCCACTCTTCAGTTTATACCCAAAGGACTTAAAGTCAGCATATTACAGTGACTCAGCCACATCAATGTTTATAGCAGCTCACTTCACAACAGCTAAGGTATGGAACCTTCAACAGATGAATGGAGAAGGAAATTACAGTATATATTCACAATGGAATAGTACTCAGCTATAAAAAATAATGAAATTATGTCATTTTGCCAGTAAATGGATAGAACTAGAGAATATCATGCTAAGTGAAATAAGTTAATCTCAAAAAACCAAAGGCCAAATGTTTTCTCTGATATGCAGATGCTAACTCACAATAAGTGGTGGGGAAGAACAGAACTACTTTAGATTAGACAAAGGGGAATGAAGGATGGGAGGGGGAATGGGAATAGGAAAGAGAGTAGAATGAATTGGACCTTACTATCATATGTGCATATATGATTACATGACCAATGTAATTCTACATCTTGTACAACCAGAAGAATAAAGTTATACTCCATATATGTATAATATGTCAAAATACATTCTAATGTCATGTATAACTAATAAAACAAATTTTAAAAGTATTTTGAAAATTTAGCATGGAAAGAATATTGGCATAGTCATTCAGATGCTGGCAAGTTCACTAATTAGTGTAAGTTTGAGCAAATCACATACATCTGCTCTTTATTCCTTTGACTGTAAAAAGGATTAATGACTACCTGTCACATGGCTGTTGTGAATGTTAAATGAGAAGATATATGCAAAGTACAAGAATGATGCCTGCATATATCAGGTGCTCAATAAGCAGTCACAATAACTTTTGCTATTGTGTTTATTCACATAATAAGAATAAGCACTAATCATTTCTAGAAGCACTTATTTTTGACATTTTCTACTTTTATAAAATTATGTTGCCATCTGAGAAAAATAATAAATAGGTACTTAATGCTAAGAGTAAAAAATATTGCATGACAGCTTTGAGAATAAGCATATTATTCCATAAGGGTAGCATGGGAGAGGTATATTGATTTTTATGCATATTTTTTCCATAAATGGGTCATGCTGATGTTGAGTACCCTAAATTGGGAATGTATGGTGAAGTGTCACTATCTACTATCTATTATTCATTTTATACCAGGCAATTGTAATTTGCCTTTGTTTATCTCATGCAAACACTAGTGTATTCTATATTGCTGTCCACATGCACAGCAATATATGCTCTATGCATAGTTACATGCACAGAAAAAAATAACTATTCTTGCTATCCTCGATGATGGAGACCATCAGCATCTATTATCATAGGGAGATAGATGTTTGTGTCTTTATTACTTACATCAAGACCAGGCTCTCCATCTTTCCCCTGCCAAAGAACCATAGTAGCTACATTAGTGTTCCTAAGTTTCATGAATAGGTTATTGTTTTACTTAAGGCTGCCTGGACATGCAACCATTTGTATTAGAACAATTATATCTGGAATGGGAAAAGGATTCTCTATTGATTAGTAATACAAATTTGTTCAAATCAAGGAAAGTGATTGTTAGTGTTGCAGTTAAGGGCCATGAAAGTCTCTTTCTGATTTTATATTGGGTTAAATAGATTGGCATTTTGCTAAAGTTTAAGGAGTGCTATCAAGTTATCAGTTCAAGAGTGAAGTCAAAAGCAAAAATACTGTTTAGTTGATTTCAAGGCATGCCAGCACTATTAGAGGATGAGAATCAATGCTACTTTAATTTGCTAATTTAGTAGTTAACTCAACGGGTGAAGAATGTGAAAACTTCTTATTGTTAAAATAGTTCTAATCTGGCCAAATGTACACCTTCTATATGAATGTTAACAGTGTAAAAGTCACAACTTAAACTGTTTTTAAGCAAACTTTGCAAATGAATGATTCCCAAGTATAAAAGGAGTCATCAGACTCTTAAATGCAAAGTTGAGAAATTCGCTCTCTTGGTGACAACCCTGGTGTGTCCCTCTGTGGATCCACCCAAAGTTCCCAGAAGCTGGTATGATTCCACTAATCAGATTTTGACATCTATCTCAAAATCAGTATCTGAAATAATCATAGGTTATTATTTCAGTTCACAAAAACTATGTGGAAGGTACACGGAGGTTAAAAACCTTAATACAATATATGCTGCTTCATTGCCCCACCCTACTGAATTAATTCTAATTACTGCAAAAAAGTAAACCCGAGGTCTCAATTTGGATTCTGTGAATTTTCTGGTAATAGCACACTATCAACATTCCATGTTCTGAAGACCATTTGTCCTTAGTAACTTCGATCACAAGTGTTCAGCTCACGGTAAATACCAATTTATTTTCAAGGATCATCTTTACTAGCAAGAGTGCTTTTAATCAATAACCTATAAAAATAAAGTGTGAAGAAGATCATTGTCAATGAAACTTCCACACCTGCTTTCAGAAAGTGACCTTTCAAGGAGGTGGCAGTTAGGAGCATCCAGTCAGGTGGCATAGGGAGGGCGTTATCTGACAGTTGGAATCCTGCTTTCAGGTTAGCAGTATTCATCCTACAGTCTGAGCCCTTCAGTCTTGTGAAATGCATGGTGTGTGTCTGTACAGGATGAGAGGGTGTGAGGCAAATGTGACCTATCTGTGAAGAACACGGAATTATCTATATTTATGTAATTAGTGGAGTGGTTTTGCCTTTTTAATGTGATTAGTCTGCCCCACAAGGGGAGGGTTAACTGTGTCAGTGACAAGTCAGTCATGCAGAAGGTGGTGGCCGTGCACACTGAACTCACAGGCAGGCCATATGGTCCTCTGGGTCCAGGCTCTCCCATAGCTCCTTTTTCCCCCTAAAACACAAAGCAGAAAGTCCAAATCACACATGCACACCTTCATCCCCACACGGTCTCTTAAGGTCTATGTACCAAGCCTCAACTAAAGTACGATCCCACCAAAATTTCAAAGATTCAGGTTCCTACAGGATTACTGCCACTGACAGGGAAAGTAATCCACCATGGCATAGTTTACAAAATGACCTTTGAAAGTAGTACAGAAAGAGACTGCTGCTGCCCAGTTGTGCTAAGGGTTTGCCTAGTGATGATGCTATGCTTGGGTTTCTTCGGCATTATTGTGAAACATTTGTTACTACTTAAATTATAGGCTGAGTATCCATTATTTAAAATTCTTGGGACCAATGGATGGATTGGCTTTCAGATTTTGGGATATTTGCATATACATGATGAGGTATCTTGAGGTGGGACCAGCCGAAATACAGAATTCATTTCTTTCATATATACCTTATGCACATAGCCCAAAGTAATTTGAGATAGTATTTTTAGTATACCTGTACTTGGACTGTGACTCCTCAGATGAGATCAGGGGTGGGATTTTTTTCACTGTGGCATTGTATCTGTGCTCAAAAAGTTCAGGGTTTTGGAGAAGTCTTAAATTTTCAATTTTTGGATTAGAGATGCTTCACTTGTACTACATTTTAAGGAATGTAATAAAACACTTCTCCCCTTATTAAATCTCTCTTGTTCAGAGAAACTTTTGACCATCTCCTTCCCTTACCCAGCTGTGTTTTACTTCATGGCCCTTACTCCCTGGGAGACACTCAAATATTTATTCTCTGCTCCCTTCACTAGAATAAGCTCCTCAGGGTTTCAGGACCTCTCGTCATTCCATTACAGCATCCAGCACATAAGTAATATTTGTTGAATGAATGAACATGAATGAATGAATATAATGGCATACATGTTTTGATTTCTTTAAAAAAGATGTTTAAAAGGTTTTATGTTTCTATTAAATACAAGCTCATGTATACATTGTCTTCCTTACTGTCTTTCCTACTTCATAGACTCGCCCTGGCTTAAATGACAACCTTGGATTCTTATAAAGAATAAGTTACTGGGCTGGGGATGTGGCTCAAGTGGTAGCGCGCTCGCCTCGCATGCATGCGGCGCGGGTTCGATCCTCAACACCACATACAAACAAAGATGTTGTGTCCGCCGATAACTAAAAATAAATAAATATTAAAAACTCTCTCTCTCTCTCCCTCTCTCACTCTCTCTTTAAAAAAAAAAAGAATAACAACAACAAGTGCTGGAGAGGATGTGGGGAAAAGGGTACTCTTGTACATTGCTGGTGGGACTGCAAACTGGTGCGGCCAATCTGGAAAGCAGTATGGAGATTCCTGGGAAAGCTGGGAATGGAACCACCATTTGACCCAGCTATTGCCCTTCTTGGACTTTTCCCTGAAGACCTTAAAAGAGCGTACTACAGGGATACTGCTACATCGATGTTCATAGCAGCACAATTCACAATTGCTAGACTGTGGAACCAACCCAGATGCCCTTCAATAGATGAATGGATAAAAAAAATGTGGCATTTATACACCATGGAGTATTACGCAGCACTAAAAAATGACAAAATCATAGAATTTGCAGGGAAATGGATGGCACTAGAGCAGATTATGCTTAGTGAAGCTAGCCAATCCCTAAAAAACAAATACCAAATGTCTTCATTGATATAATGAGAGCAACTAAGAACAGAGCAGGGAGGAAGAGCAGGAAGAAAAGATTAACATTAAACAGATACATGAGGTGGGATGGAAAGGGAGAGAAAAGGGAAATTGCATGGTAATGGAGGGAGACCCTCATTGTTATACAAAATTACATATAAGAGGTTGTGAGGGGAATGGGAAAATAAACAAGGAGAGATATGAATTACAGTGGATGGGGTAGAGAGAGAAGATGGGAGGGGAGGGAGGGGGGATGGTAGAGGATAGGAAAGGTAGCAGAATACAACAGTTACTAATAGGGCATTATGTAAAAATGTGGATGTGTAACCGATGTGATTCTGCAATCTGTATTTGGGGTAAAATTGGGAGTTCATAACCAACTTGAATCTAATGTATGAAATATGATATGTCAAGAGCTTTATAATGTTTTTAACAACCAATAAAAAAAAAATTAAAAAAAAAAAAGAATAAGTTACTGAAGGTTATTCCATGAATAGAAATAATTGTGATTACAGAGATAGTCCTCATTTCAAATAGTGTTTTTCTCTCCAAATTAAAATATTTGTCAGTATTCAGCATGAAAAATTCAGGAGTAATAGTGATGTTAACATGAGTAGCCTAACAGAAAATATTACCTTTTATCTCACCTGTGAAGAAGTTTAAAGTTCAGCAAACCATTTTTCATGGGTAAATAAGCCAAGTTCAGCTGGGCACAGTGCCATACACCTGTAATCCCAGTGGCTCAGGTGGCGGAGGCAGGAGGATCGTGAGTTCAAAGCCAGCCTCAGGAAAAGCAAGGCGCTAAGCAACTCAGTGAGACCCTGGCTCTAAGTAAAGTATAAAATAGGGCTGGGGATGTGGCTCAGTGGTTCCGTGCTCCTGAATTCAATCTCCGGTACAAAAAAAATCCAGATTTAGCTGATTTTGCCTGCAAAGGGACATGGCACGCCTGTTTTCTACCCTCCGGATCTATATGCAACTCATTCTTCCTGAATCTAAATTTAAGGGGTTGGTGAAGCTAACAAGCACTGTTATGTAGAGACACATACAGGAAAGGTGAGATTACTGAAGACAATAAAAACTTATTGAACTCATTATTACTTTATTTCTGAAGCAGCAGCAGTTGGGCTCAGTAAAGTAGCCAGGCTTTAAATGACACAGATTTAAATGTGAATTCTACTTCTGGAACTTTGTGTGGCCTCCAGCGACTTTCAAAACTTTCTGTGCCATAAAGGAAGAAGAGTAATGCACATTTTGCAAGAACTGTTCTAAAGATTAAAGGTGATAGTAATATTAAAATTATATGGTGGCAAATAGTATATACAAATTATATACTATAAATGGGAACTGTTATTGGTAGTATACAATTAGAGGTGATGTTTTTAATGGATAGGGTTTGACAACCTGAAGAGCATCAATTCAAAATCAGTTTCCTTCATTTTGATTTGACAGTTTTACTCATGATTTTAAAAACAGTGGTATATGTGTGGTGAAAGGTGGGAGTTTTATAAGGGATCATGGACACTGGAGTAGGTCTAGCTTGAAATAGATGCAGATTATAGATTTTGATATCACCAGGGCCTTCCCCTTTCTCCAACGAGAAACTTGGCTTTGTTTTTGTTTTTTGAAATGAATATATTATGACTTATTTGAATAAAGCTGTCACTAAAACATCTGCTGGCAGAATTCCTATTCTCGACTAGCCCTCCCTAAATAATGACTTTTAAGCCAACAAGGCAATTTTCTTTCTCTGGCAAGTGACTTCTTTGAAAGTGGACATATGATTTGTTGCTGACCAATGAGGCACTGGGGGCCGTCTGGGGAAGGTGTCTTCTTTGCTAAGGAGACACCAATGCATAATATCTGTTCTCTGCCCATCTCACCTTGGGACGCTTGGGACTGTTGCTCCCAATGTTCTTGCTGGCAGAAGATGAAGCCCTGAGGCACAGCCAGAGTCCTCCTTCAACTCTTTTGCTATAAGAACCAGTATATTTCTTTCTCATTTAAGCCATTTTGAATGTATAAGTTCTGTCCCTTTGAGTCAAAAGCATCATAATGGTCCCATCTTGAATACTTTTAGGAATGAAACAGTCACCCAGTAATTTGAATGGGTAACTTCTTTTCCTGGATTAGATAATCCCCAAAGAACTGTTGAACTCTCAAACCCAACATCCTATAGAGTTCTGAAGCAGTTTACCGAGGATGAAGAAATCAGCCAATGTCAGGGAGCACCCAGAGTCTACGAAGCTGAATATTAATGCTGTCAGTCATATTGCAGACATTTTGAGTAACCATGCCTGCCAACGGCCTAATTTCTTTTAGGCTGGTCGAATTTCATTTATGCTCTTTACTTTGCATGTCTACACTGAGAAATTGTTCCAGGACGCCTTGCCTTGTTGATTCCTACCTCTTTAAAACTTGAAATTTTTTTCCATGAGAGTCCAGATGGCACCCCAATTAACTTTGAGAATTGCACTCCAGTTTGGCACTTTGGGTGAGGGGCACTTGGAGAGTACTGATACCTGATCCAGTCAGGATAGTTAACGTGCTGAGTAAATACAAGTGTAACACTTCACACTGCACGCCATCTGACTTAAACTATGCCTTCAAAAATTCTTATCGACTTCATTTGCTCTTCTGGTTAATTCTGCCCCAGCACTGAGACCTGATACTCCTGTGACACTGTGGAGCTATCGGAAGTAGCAGCTGATTGACCAAACGGTAAACCCTCTTGAGCCCCAGGGCACTCTGCCAAAGACTGCTTGAGATTTGCTGCTCCAATTTTAGTACCAGGGCTGGGTTTCTTCATATGATGCTTGAAAGTGAATCTACATCATTATTGTGGAGGCTCTTAGCTTTTGAATATTTTTAATTAAGGAGATCTTCAGAAGTTGTTGGTTTGATCTTGGAAATAAGACAACAGCAGCTTCAGATCATATATTCTTTTAGGACTCATCTCCATCTAGAACCAGTCTTGGATAAAGTCAGCCTTCAACACCACACGTGCATCCTGTACTATTCATTTGGGCCTCTTCCTCTAGTTAGTTCTTGCATACATTTTTTCCACCTCTGCAATTAGATTGCAAACTCTTCTAGCTCAAGGAAAATAGCTGCTACCTCTCCAGCACTAAGTATGTATGTATAATAAAGACTATGTATGTATAATAAAGACTAATAAAGACTATGGGATGATGAATCAATTATAATGATATTATTCAATGTACTGGAGCAAATTAGCAAAGTAGGCTTTCTATAAGTAGAAGAGTGTTTCCATTTAACACTAGAAGTCATACTATGCTTCGCACATAGTAACATTTGATAAATATTTATCACATGAATGAATTCCCTTTATAGAAGGCAGAATTGGGGAAATGGAAGGTATGTCAAAGAAATCACTACCTGGCTCTCTTTTTTTATAGTAAATTATTCCAGATTGGTGAAAATGATCAAGTTTTTATAAGAGCACAAAATTGCATAGTGAATCATTCTAACACTTTGAGGCCTTAACTTTTAAGATGCTTTCTTTATATCCTTGCTGGATGGTAGAGAAATTAATGATACAAACCTATTCAGACACACACACACACACAGTTTTCCAAGGTGAGGAAATGAAAAAGGGAGAGAAGTTCCAGATAGATGATCAGCTGCTGATGCTTCAGTACATTTTTTTTGTGTCAGATATTTATCTTCCATTCTGAATGTCTTCTCCCCCCCGCCCCCAAGGATATGGAAACATGGCCTAGCAATAGAGAGATTAGTGAAAGGTTTTGTTTTATAATGCACAGAAATTATTTCCTTATGGCTAAAGAAAAACAGGCCATTTTTTAGCTATAAAAAAGGCAGAGGGCACATATAACTGCAGAGAAGAATACTTGGGTTTTGTAATTTCCTTTGGAAAAATGTTATAACATTCCGAATGAATACAGTAGCTTTACATTAAAGATTATCAACCAGAATGCATAGGTACTCCTGGAAATTGTAGGCCCATTGACTTCCACTTTCTGGATGAAGGCCAAATGAAAATATCTTCCTTATGGGTAGATGAAGAATAATTGGAGCTATTTATTTTAGCTATGTAAATGTATGCATTGTTTTTATTAAGACAGCCCTATTCTATTTTTATACTCTGTGGTTTTCTTCTCTCAGTGTTAGGACTCTGAACTGAAAATGCTATCTATTTTCATTTAATACTTGATAGCCCTTTACTTCTTCTGGAAAATAAACAGTCCAAGGTCAACTAATATGGAAAAGTCATGCTCTGTGTTTCCTTCAATACACAGTTCAAGCTTAATAACTTCAGGAACAACTTACTCTTTCTCCTTTGGGGCCTGCAGGGCCATGAGGTCCCATAGGACCATCTGTACCCTAAAAAAAAAAGATAAAAATAAAACAATGAGACATACCACAAGTACTGCAAGAAAAGCAGCTTTGATTTATTCTGGACCTTTTCTGGTGAATGATGTCTTAGGATGTCTGTAAGACAACTCATCTCCTTTCAAAGTGCTTTATACAGGATTCTTTCAGACCAGTGGTTTTCAAGAAACTCATACAAAAGGGATGAATTATATCAACTGCATGATTCAATGAAGAGTACATACAAAAAGCCATATATCATGTTTAGTTATATATTTCACTGACTAAATGGAGCCTCTTCACTTTGCCCCCATAATCCTAAGAAAAATGAAACCGTCTTTCCTTCCTGTCACCTCTTCTTCAAGCCCTTTCTCCACATTCATGGCCACCCTTGGCCAAGCACACTAAGAAGCTTTGTTTGCAGCCACATGGAGGCTTCAATGCTGATTCAAGTTAAAAAAACAAAAACAAAAAAACGGCATTTAACTTTTTTTTTTTTTGCTACTCTGTAGGGAACAGCAGGGGCTCATCGGGATCCTCTAGGTTCTGCCTCAGTGACTGAAGTCACGAGGCTCTCAAGTCACAAACCAGGCAGCCATGGTGATTAATGGCACCACTGAATTCTGCCTCCCGGTTAGTTCAGGATCTCTGTGATAGGAGATCTATCACTATAGGAACACTGGGGTCCACAGAAAAACAATGACTGCCCAAAGCAGGTTTTTAGAACTGAAAATATTGGAATTTCTTTCAGATTCTTAAAAATGTGGCAAGAATTGGAAGATTCTGCATAGATTTGCAAATAATTTATTATAATATGTGCAAATGTAGAAATATTCCAGCACAATTTTTCTACAGTACTTCCATTTCTCCTCTATTGTCCTGGTTTATTTTGTTAAAGCCTTGTGATATGAGAGAATTCCAAGTTTCAAACTCATTCTAATTTTGATGAATTCTCATCATCTTAAATGATCTTTACTGCCCCAACTCGAAGTTCATCTTTGGAAGATTTCTAAATACTGAGTATCTGCAGCTGAAATTTAAGAGATGGAGCTGTTAAGAACCAAAGAAAAGAGTAAAGATGACAAAAGGCAGATGGATCATTCTACGGACAGACACTTGAAAGTTAGTTCCAAGGAAGAAGTTACATTTCTAAGATGGGCATAATCCTAAAAGCAAAAGCTAGTTAAAATAAATTCATATTACTTTAATCTCTTCAGAGGACCTCTTTCATGGAATTACAGGGAATATTTTATTGGTTATGGAAAAATCCATCTGGGATACTAAGATAATGAAGCCAATTGGATGGGTCATTCTTCCCACATAGTAAGTTATCCAGATTTGAACTTGAGATTTCAAAGATATCCTGGCAGTTGAGATTGGATCTCAAAACACAGCTGCAACCCACTCTCTACCTTTCCTATTTTCCGCCATTTTGTCCACCTTCCCCTTTGACTCCAGCCCCTGAGTACCCCTCCTCATCGCCTGATGAGAGCACATGGAGCAAAGGGGTCTGCCCTGAAGCACGTTTCACAGCCACAAAGCATGCCAGAGCAAGACAGGGACTGACTCACCCGGGCTCCTGGCTTTCCGTCTAAGCCAGATGCTCCCTGTATGATTTGGTTGGTAGCAGGGTTGGTGGGTGTAACACGAATGACAAGAACAGAGATTAGTATGAGGTGCCAATGAACAAATGCAACACTTCAACAACATAATACACAGTCACGGGATTCTGGGATGAATATCACATTGCTACAAATTGTTAGTTAAAAAAAACAACAACAAACCACGTGACAATAAACACCCCACAGATGATGGCATTTTTAATGACATTTCTATTAGGCAAATTCTTTTTACAGAAACCAAGTTAATGAGGTTTACAAAGTGTACTGCAAAGTAGTTACTGGTTCTAGTCAGAGGCTTCTATCTAAATCCCATCTGAAATTCATTTTCTAGAGACTGAATCATTTACAATATATTTCTTTAGGTTCTGAAGGGGGAAAAGTGGCAATCTTGTAAGAAAGGGCTCATTATAATAATCAAGGTATGTGTTTCAGAGGAAAAAAAAATAGAGGCCGAGTTACGCTTGTTAAAATAGTGTTTGTGGACAAACAATGATGGGTTTCAATGTGCCAGGATGAGTCTGAATTTTATGTGAATCATAGTCATTGTATTCCAGGCTGTTCCTACTGTTCATGTTAGTGACCACTAGAGGGACTTCTAAGAACAGGGAAAAAAAAAAAAAAAAAAAAAGAAAAGAAAACAACTCAAGAGCAGGGTGTGGTGGGGGAATCTGTGAGACGGGACAAAAAATAATTCCCAAACTAAATTGTTCCTCAATTCATTTCAAATAATCTTTCATCAAAGCCTGAATGAAAAAAAAAAATGTCTTAAAGATCTAGATCTGTTCCCAGGCAATGAATGCTATTCTTTACCTTGAACTCTAGGCTACATAAAAACAGTGAAGGATAAAAAAAAGTGACATTTCCAATGTTTATTTCAAGAATAAGTACAATTACTTATTTGATGAGGCTTCAAAGCCCAAATATTTATTTATAGTACTTAAAGATCAAGAGTATTTAGGAGGACCATGCTATGTCAAGGTCTCAGAACTACTTCCCAATTTTGTGTTTCAGATAAAAAGAATCTATTCAGCTGAAAATCCCACCAATGAAGCTAAACAACATACTTTTGGGATATTTTTAGAATTTTTAATTCAAGATTCCTTCAGGGTGATTCTATTATGAACCATAGTATAATTAATGATTACAGTAAAAAAAAAAAAGTGTATTACTATTCTTTAATGGTGGCAGACACAGAGATTTTGGCTAGATGTTGCATAAAAATTATCAACAGCTCTAAATTTTGAAATTGGAGAAAACTAAAAAAATCAGGTTAATAGTTTGTTTATATTACCCTTTGATGCTTTATTATAACATTTCAAAATAAATGGCCAAATGATAATTTTTACGTGTGAGATATCTACCTAGAATGCTGAATTAGTGACTTACATATGTTAGAGGTTTTATGCCTGTGGTTCACTGACCTAATTGGTGTAACTTAACCTATTTCTAATATAGGGTTTTATCATTTAATCAATAAGTGAATACATGTACAAATTCTCCTGTGCCTTATCTATAAAACCCTGGCTCTCAAGTGGCATACTTTAGTGCTTAAAGCACAGGGTCCATGGGAAAAATAAGTGGTCATTAATCCCAACCTCAATATCTCAAATACAAGGATAAACTATGATCACTGATTTTTGTCATATCTCACTAATATATTCTACAATGTTCTTTACGGATTTGGCATTGGCAGAATAGACAGCATGCTAAAAGCTTGAAACTAAAGCCTCATATTCAATAATAGATTTTTGAAAATCTGTTGGGGCATAATGCGCATGAAGATAAAAATCCCTTTTTCATTAAAAATAAAAATCTTTAAGCACTTGTAAGCTATTTCTCCCATACTATCCACCATTGCTATAAAGACCCTCATAACGGGGAATTTCCAAAAACAAACAACATACAACATGTAGAACACGATGTGATTGATATGCAAGGAGCCATAGCACTGACCTCTCGCCATCAACAATGGCCAATTGCATACCTGCCACCAGGAGGGCTACAGTTTTTTGATACCCAAGGAGAAAAAAAAAGTTGACAGCAAATCTTATATTGCACTCAATTATAAAAGCATTTGGGAGAAATAGTGGAATGATGAGCATGACATTTTTGGAGGAGGAGGATGGGGGAAGAACTGTCAGCCCTGAAAGAGGAAGGTTGGCATGTATGTAATTGAAGAATGACAGAACATCCACAGCATTGTTTGGGGTCTTCCACTAACACAAGAGGAAACACTGGAGAAAACAGAACTTGGCTGAGCTCTGCTCTGACATAATGTTTTCTAATTCCAGAAATCTCAATGGTAAGTAAACCAGAGTTGTTGTTTAGGGTAGAAAGAAAAATCTGAGATTTGCACTGAAATGGAAAGTTTTCTTTACTTACTGGAAGACCAAGGGGTCCTCTGTCACCCTTTTGACCTGGTTCACCCTTCAATCCTTTAACACCATTTAACCCTGGTTCACCCTAAATGCAAAAGCAAATGCTAATTTCGGTTGCTATTATGGGTGTTTAAAATGTGACAGAAGAGAGCCAGTCTCTGAAATAGCTGCAGATTCCAGTTTTATGTAACAGCAGAGTCAGGCTTGATTTGTCTTGCATCAGTTCAAAGATTAATTTAAAGATAAACTGAAATCAACAAATAATGTTCTAGAAGGCAAAACTCCTGAGAAACTGTGCTTCTTCCTGTCAAAAGCTGTATGACTGAGTCCCTGAATTTTTGAGTTCCATCCCAAGGAAATCAATGTGAACACTACATTGTTCTAATCAAACAAATCAAAGACAGAGTGAAGGATGCTTAAGCAGACCCAGTAGGAAAAACCCACTCTGCTGGAATGGAAAACTGGAATTTGCGAGACAGTGTTATAGACAGATATTTTAAGCCTTTAAGCATTTTGCCCAGGAGAATGAGCTAAAAATGTAGCAGCTGATGTTTGAAGTAATGCCATTCAGCTAGTTCTCCTTTACTGACATTGCCAAGTCGGTTCCTACACAGATTAATCAATACTCTACAACAAATTGCCAGTCCCAGAGGAGAGTATGAAGATCAAAGAACTTGAATGGAGTTTTACTCACCATCCATCTGCCCAATGTTAGAATCTGCCCAATGATTTTAACTCAGGCTGACATTATAAAAGCCATGCTAAGTGATAAATTCTCCTGACAATTTATTAAAAATCTAGTACACCTATTTTCCATCAATAATCACATGTTAGATGGACAAAGATCTGACTGGAACACTTTTCAACTTTTAAATATAGATAATAAGTTTTCAAGGAAGTCTTGCAAGACTTGCTAAAGGAAGATGATTTCAGGCTGTGGGAGGGGCTATGGTCCCATTAGCAGAAGGGACTTAGGCAGTGTTTACCCAATTTGCCTGACAATGAAAACCAGCGTGGTGGTTGTCAAATATAAAGTGGTCCAGAGCCCCACCCAGGCCACAGGAGCAGAGCATTGGTCTCTCTCATAAGCCTCCCAAGTGAATGTCACACCAGGATGTTCTGTGGAACCATGCTAGCTAGATATTTGAACTTTTAAAGGGGTCATAGAGTCATGGATGCCTTGGCGTGACATGGTGGATTTTCAGGATTTTGATGATAGGAGTTTGCAGTGCAGCCACTAAAGGAAATTCAAATGTGCTATGTTTGGTAAGGTCTGATCCTGGGAATGCCACAGTCATAGTCAGTATGATACTAAGGCCAAGGCTTGCTAGCCAATTTCAGTCAATTGGTTTTAACTTATGGCTCTGCAGGTACGTGCCCTATTAGTGAGTGGTCTTTAGATGAAGGACAGGCAGGGTAGCCCTAGTAGGCTATGGAATTCCTTGGTGGAATATCATGCATTGACAGGAGCAGACAATGATTGAGAAGGTCAGTTTAGAAACGGTCAAATCCAGTTGCAAAGAGACAAAATTTCATGTCTGGACCCAATTCCAGTCTCATATCTGTCATTAACTAGCATGACCTAAACTTTCTGGACCTGTAGTTTATCAGCAATAAAATCAAGGAACTAGTACTGGTCATCTATGAGATCTTTTCAAATTTATAATGATCTGAAATCTGACTTAAGTAACAAATAAAATCATGGGAGGAAAAAACCGATTGGATTTTAGATATTAAAAGGATCTTAGGCATTCAATGGTGCTGGCATATCTGAATCACTCTGGGAACTAGAAACAGTCTTGATGGCTTTACTGTTGGTCATTATCATTAGGCTGATCTTTGGTGGCACCTTCAATTCTAAGTAGAAGCTAAGACTGGGAATCATGGATTTGGTCTAGGATAGAAAAAAGACCCAGAGAAGTTAACTACAAAGATCACAAGCTGGTAGATGGGCTCTCTCCTTCTGACCCTAGAAAAGTACTTTCACCCCAGTCTCTATTGCATACATCTGAGGCTCTGACACTGGCCTTAGCAAAAGGCAAGGCATTCTAACAAGAAAGAGGTGTGAACCCCTTCCCTTCTTCAGTGTCACCTGCCTGACCTAAAAAGGAAAATCAAGGAGTCCTAAGTTTGACTAATACCTGCTGGTACTGGATGAGAGGCGCCAGATTACTGAGGAGAGAATGTGCTGTCTCTGGACTTTCTGATGCCTAGCACCAACATGACATTTATGTATCTCCTCCACCTTTGAAATGCAATGACTCACTATGAGAAAATTTCAGGGGTTATCAACTTTCTCTTCAGCAACCTTGAGGACAAGCTATAGATTTTTTTCTGTTTGGAAGAAAGTACCAAATCACAAGGTAACAATAAGTGCCATATATCAGGTGTTTATCAACAACTGCACCAGATATTTGCTAAGTGTCTTATAATTAGCCTCATTAGAGCATCACAACAACTCTAGGAGATAAGTTATCTGGTTGAATAATTTAAAAATCAGACAGGGTCAGTAATTTACTCAAGGTGACATGGCCTGTCAGTGGCAAAACTGAGATTAGAACAGAAGTTCTCATCACGTATGCTCTCTGGAAGGAGGAGCTTGCCTTTCAGGGCTCATTTTCATCCTCTATGTCTATGTGAAGATAACGTCTTCACAATGGAAGCTGTACTGATTCTGACAAGGATTGATTTGTTTTAACCCAAAGTACACAGAATGCAGGTGAGTGATGAGTGATATGGTGTGTACCTACTAGCACACCCCCAGCCCATTCTACACCATGGCCTCTGGGAGAGCACAGAACTAAGATGTTGGGTAGTCAAAGCATGAAGATGCAGTCCTGTGGTGATGGCAAGCAAGACATTTCAATTAATTGGAACCAAACCTACAGCTAGAGACACCAGGAAGGGGGTGAAAAAAGCACCTGGACCAGTCAAAGAATCTCATTGGATGTCTGCTAAGGGGTTGATTCGAATATATAACAATTAGTAATTTAGGAAACTTTTACTTAGCAACAAGGAAAAAAGAAAATGAGGAATAATTTAACTCTAGGTGATATCACTTAAATTTGTTGTAAGTCATTTTGTATTAATATCCGAATGCTTAAAGGCTTAAGGATTATCAAAATTACTCGACAAATAAATAAGACAGGACAGACATGCTTCCATCATGCTTCCCCCATGATAATAAAGAGAACAGAAATCAAGTAAGGAATGTGTTGGATTACCTTTGGTCCAGGAAGTCCATGGGGTCCCTGTAAATGGAAAACACGGCTTTTAATGAAGAATTGATTCACTGTTTCCCAACAGAAGTGAATATTTTCTCAAGAAGCAAGAATTATAAAACCAGAATTTTCTTGTTTGAGCTATTGTGAGAGGTGGGTCTGTGGTTGTTATTTGTTACCTACCAAAAGGTCCTTCCAGTTCTTGTTTTGCTCTGTAATAGGAAATGCATTAATAGCAATCCTATCTGCTAAATGTCTATGAGAGGGAGGGAGAAATGTGCTGGAGTTACATGGAAGAAAAAAAATTAGAGAAAAATAAACTATTTTAAACTCACATTATTTCTCTTTCTCAAATTTCCATTTTTTAGTCAGGTAGAATATTTGAGATACTTCATAAGTCTATAGAGAATAGAGGTAGGACTTAAAGTGTGGGACTCTCTTTGTCAAAGATCTACTTTTAAGTACCAGTGCTCATTAACTCCTACAGACTCGAGGTGTTAAAGAATCTAAAGGAGACAGGAAGTGAGGTGAAGCTAGCTGGGTATGAGGCCCTGTAGCAGCAACAATTTAAAAATCAGGAGGGCTGAGCATTTTTATTTAGATTGTATTTATTTTTACAAGGAGGAATTCTTCAAAGCCCTAACAATTCTTTACTAATGGAAGGAAGTCATAATGCATGCATAGATTGCCATTTTAGAAAAAGCATGTATTTTGTGGACAATCTAAATATAAAGGCTAATTATCAAATTAATGGAAGCTTACTGTGGGATTGCTTTAAGCTTTTCAAGTGACTTAAATAAACTATTTGTGGAAAGGAACATTTAAAAATACAGTGAAATCATACAACACCAGAAAACATTTTTGATCAAGCAATGCCTAGATATTTGTTACACATGTCTCCATTAGAATAATATTTTTCCTTTAGTTAAGTTTTGGGTAAACATTTTCAGGAAATGACTGTCACTTTATCAGGTATTCTTATCTCATTTTAATAATGGGTTAAAATTCCTTTAAGCCAATTAATTTTATCATATGAATAGGAAGCAGCATATTCTAATTTAACCTTCTAGCTTAAAACTTGAGGGAGAGTAAAAAAGCCAAAAATCATGCTATTTGCTCAATTCTTAATAAATTCATTTTAAGAAAACAAGGTCAATTGTAGCTTTCTGTTACAAAATAGAAATTAATAAGAAATGGATGACTGAGCTACCTTCCAGGTCTTGGATCATTCCAAAGATGTTCTCTTAGAGAGCAATATAAGAAGAATGGCCACAAATCAATCTGCATTGTTAAAGTTTTCTGCTTTACTGACACACTTTAGAGATGAGTGTACCTCATCCTGCCCCTGTCAAAAGCATTTGAAACACTCTGCTTTCCACATTGTAGCCTTAACGCAACTGTCATTAGTCTGGCACTTAGAGAATCACACTTGTTTTTTTTTTTTTTTTTTTTTTTAATTTTTTATTGTTGGCTGTTCAAAACATTACATAGTTCTTGATATATCATATTTCACAATTTGATTCAAGTGGGTTATGAGCTCCCATTTTTACCCCATATACAGATTGCAGAACCACATCAGTTACACATCCATTGATTTACATATTGCCATACTAGTGTCTGTTGTATTCTGCTGCCTTTCCTATCCTCTACTATCACCCCTCCCCTCCCCTCCCCTCCCCTCTTCTCTCTCTGCCCCCTCTACTGACATTCGTTTGTCCCCCTTGTATTATTTTTCCCCTTCCCCTCACTTCCTCTTGTATGTACTTTTGTATAACTCTGAGGGTCTCCTTCCGTTTCCATGCATTTTCCCTTCTCTCTCCCTTTCCCTCCCACCTCTCATCCCTGTTTAATGTTAATCTTCTTCTCATGCTCTTCGACCCTACTCTGTTCTTAGTTACTCTCCTTATATCAAAGAAGACATTTGGCATTTGTTTTTTAGGGATTGGCTAGCTTCACTTAGCATAATCTGCTCTAATGCCATCCATTTCCCTGTAAATTCTATGATTTTGTCATTTTTTAATGCAGAGTAATACTCCATTGTGTATAAATGCCACATTTTTTTTATCCATTCATCCATTGAAGGGCATCTAGGTTGGTTCCACAGTCTAGCTATTGTGAATTGTGCTGCTATGAACATCGATGTAGCAGTGTCCCTGTAGCATGCTCTTTTTAGGTCTTTAGGGAATAGACCGAGAAGGGGAATAGCTGGGTCAAGTGGTGGCTCCATTCCCAGCTTTCCAAGAAATCTCCATACTGCTTTCCAAATTGGCTGCACCAATTTGCAGTCCCACCAGCAATGTACAAGTGTACCCTTTTCCCCACATCCTCGCCAGCACTTGTTGTTGTTTGACTTCATAATGGCTGCCAATCTAACTGGAGTGAGATGGTATCTTAGGGTGGTTTTGATTTGCATTTCTCTGACAGCTAGAGATGGTGAGCATTTTTTCATGTACTTGTTGATTGATTGTATGTCCTCCTCTGAGAAGTGTCTGTTCAGGTCCTTGGCCCATTTGTTGATTGGGTTGTTTGTTCTCTTATTGTCTAATTTTTTGAGTTCTTTGTATACTCTGGATATTAGGGCTCTATCTGAAGTGTGAGGAGTAAAGATTTGTTCCCAGGATGTAGGCTCTCTATTTACCTCTCTTATTGTATCTTTTGCTGAGAAAAAACTTTTTAGTTTGAGTAAGTCCCATTTGTTGATTCTAGTTATTAACTTTTGTGCTATGGGTGTCCTATTGAGGAATTTGGAGCCCGACCCCACAGTATGTAGATCGTAGCCAACTTTTTCTTCTATCAGACGCAGAGTCTCTGATTTGATATCAAGCTCCTTGATCCATTTTGAATTAACTTTTGTGCATGGCGAGAGAAAGGGATTCAGTTTCATTTTGTTGCATATGGATTTCCAGTTTTCCCAGCACCATTTGTTGAAGATGCTATCCTTCCTCCATTGCATGCTTTTAGACCCTTTATCAAATATAAGATAGTTGTAGTTTTGTGGATTGGTTTCTGTGTCCTCTATTCTGTACCATTGGTCCACCCGCCTGTTTTGGTACCAGTACCATGCTGTTTTTGTTACTGAGAATCACACTTGTTTAATGGCTGCCTTCTTTAGTTCTATGAGGTCAGGACCACTGCGTCTGTTGGTCACTGAAGGACACCACCATAGACACTGGGCCTATGGATCATCACAAGCACCATGAACAAGAAAGGGGAAAAAAATCCAACAGTCTCTGTCATCTCTGGATTATTATTCATGATTGTACTTCCATTATTATTGTACTATTTTATACATATTCTTATTGAACATTTCTGCAAAGGGTGTCAAGGCTCAATTTTGGTTAGAAACATTCTTCAGCAGCTCCAGTTATTATGTTGCTACAAACAGATGAAAGCAGTAGCAAAAAATGATATTATGCACATTGTATAAAAAAAAGTAAATGTATCTCCTTGTATGTCTATGCCATAAGGCTGGAGCAATGCCTGCCAGGTTGGTCTGTCTGTCTTCAACTTTCCTATCATAAAGCTACTTTCTTCCTAACACATGTGCTTGGGGGAGTTAAAGACAACACAGTAAAGTCACCATATCTTAAAGCACCTGGTATTTTCTGTCCGTTCCACAGAGAGTCATACAAAATACAGGCTGACTGTTCAGAGAGATGTGCTCATGTTTTCTCTAGTAGCATGCTCATAAATAAACCATTACATTTTGGAGAGAAGGGAAACTTACCATGGGGCCAGGTGGGCCATGAGGACCTGGAGGGCCTGGTGGGCCTATGATCTGTGTGTCCAAAAAATAAACATGGATTTAGTTACTTCATTTAGATAAGGCAGTTTAGTTCAAATCTCATGCTGGGGCTCTGCTAAGGCCATTAATATTGGCAGAGGAAGAAGGATATTCCAAGAAGCGATGAGTTTGATTCTCTAGGTTTAGAAATTCCTTTGTGAGAATAAAATAACTTCAAAAAATAGTGTTGTTCTACAAAAGCCAGAATAAATCAAAAGTACAAGAAAGGGAACAACTGATTACAAAATATCACACAAGCAAGAAGAACAACAGAAATTCATAATGTCATAATCATCATTAAGCTCTCAAATATTTCACTAAGCACTAATAGGGTTCTGGAGAAGAGAAGAAGAATGTTAAGCTCTATTTTCACAAAGTTCTACCCACACATACTGTGGGGAAGTCATTGATTTTTCTCCACAGAATAGGACAGTCCTCTGAAAAAACTGCTTCTAACTTAGACTTCTGAGACACATGGTCTCTCACGGTACAAGGTTGACAGGCATTTCTTTTACAGTTTGACAAAGTGGTTCACAGTCTTTCTACTATTGATAAGCCATCTGGCACATGTTGAACTAGGTAAATAATCATCTTGTGTCTGTTTTTCAGGAACAGTGGAAGTTCAAGGTCCATGAACTTACAGAAGGACCCTGGGGACCTGGCAATCCGGAGTCTCCCTTTTCTCCCTTCACTCCATTGGCACCCTGCAAATAACCAACAAGCAGAGTTAAGCAGGTGAAGTTATTTCCAAAGTGTGAGAGAAAACTGAATTTTTCTCCCCAAATCCATTTTTCTCTTGAAATTTTATGATATTATGCACATTGTATAAAAAAAGTAAATTCATCTCCTTGTAGTTTAGCTTAAAACAGCAAGCTTACTATAAGATTCCTAGGTCTGTGGGTGGTATGTAAGATGTAATATAAATGAATTAAAAAACTAGACTGGCCTTGATTAGTGAAACTTACACAGTAAGTTTACAACTGTTGGGTTATAAATGCATCTTTTATGATGGTGCTCATTTTAAATTGCAAAGAGCCTTTAACTTAGTTTTCATGGACATTTGTATACTTCCTTACCTAAAAAAACACATAGGGCAGTGAAGTTTATTACATTTTTTTCTTGTGGACCGGGAATGTAGCTCAGTGACATGACACTTGCCTAGCATGGAACAAACCCTGGGTTCAATCCCCAGTAATGCAAAAACAAATAACCCCCCCAAAACCAAACATACATTTTTTTCTTATAATTTCTATATTCCCCACCCCTCCAAATTCTCAGTAAAAATTATGAGGGAAACTATAAATGCACCCATTACAAAATATCAAACAAGAAGAACAATTTACCAAGTAATTTTTTTTAATTGTTCCATATTTTTTGGCTTGTTTATCATTATCTGTTTTATAATCGGTTACTATCATCTTATGCATACTAAAGTGACCAATTACATTTATTTTACTATCTTCTAGTGAATATAATTTAGGAAGAACTTGAAGGTAAAATTTACTTCATAATTCATCTGGCTACATGCTTTAAAAATTTTAGTTTCCCAGTTGGAGTATTAATAATATAATTCTTTTTTGATTGCTTAACTTATCTTAATAAGAACATTTCATAAGAAAAAGTAAAAACATACCGGTAATCCAGGAAGTCCAATTCCTCCTTTTTCACCTGGCATACCTGGGTCCCCCATGTCTCCCTTTGAGCCTTTGAGTCCCTAAAAATGAGAGGATTTGCATGTGAGGAGCCTTCTGACCCCTGATAGTTACATTCTAGGGAAAACAGAAATCTGATGAATTTTGTCACTAGGTAGGTCCTATGCTGGGATGATTCTGATTTTCATTCTTAGGCAGGGCTATTTCTTACAGCAACTGTCTACACTGAATCAATACTATTTACCCACTAGTGGAAGGGATTGAGTTCTACTAGCCAATTAAATATGAAAAGCATGAACTTAGGTTTTGACACCATTTCTCCTGATTTCATGTATTTAATTGGCAGCAAGTCTACCTGAGCAGGCTTGAAAACAACTTAATGACTTTAATTCTCACAGAATTGAGATCTAATATTATTACAAGGCCCAAAGATACTTCTCCCACCTCTACCTTCGATGCTCCCCTCCCTCTTAACTGTTCTAGTCATCCTGAGTTTTCAAATGGTCCAGCCTACAGACAGGTTAATCATTTACTGTACACTAGTGTTCAATCAATCAATGCTTAAAAATACGTCAACTGTTTTAGTGTTCTAATTTTATCCTCATGGCATTTCTATATGGTGAGCCAGGATATTATTTTTATTTTCCTTTTACAGTGAGGAAATATATAAATGTGTATTTTGAATGTTAGCAAATCTGATTTGTGTAACACTAATGCTGAAACTAATTTCTATTGTTGATCATTTTCATCCTGAACATAACCAGATAGCCCATTCTTCAGTGAAGATCACAATAATTATGGTAAGGGACCCCTGAGTTACATAAACCTGTTTGTCTTCCTAGGGACTGAAACATATATTTCCTTGCTAGCTGCCTATTTTGTACTCCCTAGTTCAAAATCTCAGACTGGGTGAGTGAGTGGGTGGAGATCTGAATGGATTTGGATCTTATTGGTTAGTCAGACTTTGATTTTAGGAATCTAGTGACAGAGAAGAGCAACAGGCCAATCCCACCAGACTTGATGGCAGAAGACAACTTGATTTTTGGCTTCAAATCTTATAATAAAAGTACTGATCAATAATGATGCTTTTAGCAATGGTATATATCTTTGAAAATTACCTGCTCTCCATCAGCTCCTGGGATTCCTGGAGATCCTTGTTCTCCCTGTTAAGATAAAAAGTAATAGCTTGCCTCCATTATCACTGGCAATATACTACACTAAATAAAAAAAATGATGTTAGTTGAAAAGAACAATTTGACTTTTACCAAATTCATCATAACCCAAGAATACTCTGTTATATATTTCAGTTAAGTGAACTAATGATCTTCCTTCAAAATGTTGTATATGTAGCTAAGAGCCAGGGTTTTTCTGCCATGTAAGATGCCAGTTTGAAAAAAACATGATAAAAGATGACTGATAATTTGATGGCTGAGCATATCCTATAGCAACACCTATGTGCCTCAGTTAATTTTTTTCCATAAAAAAATCTAGTTGGCTTATCTTTTTTTTCCAGTTTCATAAAAACTAAAACATAACAGTTAAACTAAAATTAGAGTGCCAAGCCTCATGAATTTATAGCAACATTTTAACTGGAACAGTTTGAATAAATTCATAAAGTCTGTGAGAGTGCTGTGTCCAGAAAAGCCACAATGAAGGATGACATAATAAATCAGATAATATCTTAATCCACATAAAATTGCTTTTGATCATTTCAATTTCCTATACTATGCTAGGAATGAAGTAAAATTTACTGTTCATATGATTTATTGGAACTTTTGACAAACTCAAAACAAAACAGATTTTTATGTCTTATTTTCAAAATGAAGATGTTCCATTAAAAAAAATTAAACAATATGCTAGAGATGATTCAAATAACAGGTTTATTCACCTTTCACTTTTGGAAGGTACAGATAAAACAATTCCTTGAAAGGTAGGATATTATTTTGTATCAAATTTCCTGATGCCTACTCCATGGAAATTCTAAAAACAGCTCTTCCTAGAGTGAGTGGCCTGCCTCAGACAGATTTCCAAGGGAGCTGCCTGTAGGCTGTGTTTTCTAAAAAGGCTTGTGTGGTGATGTTATAAATGACAAAATGGACATGGCTGGGGCTCCCTTCCCTGGTAAAAACTTTAAGAGCCATGGGTCACAGCATGAAATTTGAGCTTTCCAATGTTTAAAGAAGGTATGATTCTTACAGTTCTAAACAAATGAAATAAAAAAGCAGAAAAAAAAGGCCCTTTCCTCATTTCAGATTTCCTGCTCTTTGTGGTAGCAGCAAAGTTTATTTTGCTACAAACAAGTCTGCTGAGGTTGGATGCACCTGGCTAAGCCCTAGTTTCATTCAGAGTCTGAATACTTGTCAGCACTCAGGGTCCCATCATGATTGCTTTGTTAAGCTTTTACCTTTAAAATATGATACACAGAGGCTTAAAAGAAGAGCATAATTCATGCACTACTCATTTATCCTTCACTGTCAATTACGGTTTGTGAGAGCTATCTGATGTGCAAGAAATCAAATCATTCTTGTTTGGTAAAGGAAGGAGAAATGCGAATTCAGAAATGCTGAATCCGCATTTCTCAGTCTGAGACTGAGTCTAGAGAGAGAAAACGTTTCTGTGCTTGATTCAGGCTACATTTTGCTGTCTTATGCTTGGAGACACATCCTGCCTCAATTACTCCAGGTGAGATCATGGACAGCATTAAGAACTGCATCAGTTAACACTAGATCTCAATTACAAGACTACTGTGGGGTGGGTGGGGTGAGGATAATAGGATGGTGGAAATGATGGCGGGGGTAGACGGTAAGGGGGAGAGACCAGATTTCCTTCTAAGGTATCCAGTCTCGCTCACCAGATACTTAAGGAGTAGGGGTCCAGACAGACTTGATCACCAGGGATATAGACGGTTTGCCTTTAGCAAACAATTGTGTTATATCTTGTAGGGACTAGAATATGGTGGAGAAATGGAAAATGTAAAAATCCCATACTTTTTTTATTAATGTTATATATGAAATGCATGAATGTTACACATGAAATCTGTTTCAATCTAGGATTTATGTTCTCAATACACTTCACATAGGCAAGGGCCTCAGCCATATTTTACTTTATATTCATTTGTTTAATAGAGAAATTTTCTATGTACTAGATTTCTATTTTTAAGTATCTAGAAAAAGGTACAAAAACTGATGCATGTGTGCGTGTGTATGACAGACTTAGCCAGTAAACTGACTTGAGAAGTATAAACAGAAGATGAATTTTGAAACCACTTGAATCTCCTACAAGAATCCAATGACGAAAGTCATATTTCAGCACATGTAGTTCAGTTCTGAAAAGCCAGAATCCCTGGCCATGTGTTAATTGATCAAACATGGTCAAATGACTAAGCTTTAGTTTGGAGGGATAGAGCTAACATAATTGACAAAGTGTAGGAATAGGCAAATCATTCCACGTTTCTACTGTTTGTGATTGGTATGTTTCATTAGGAAAGAATTAAATGGCAGAATCCCCCCAAACTGAAGGCTGAATGTTCTCTCTGATACGTGGATGCTAACCCACAACAAGAGCAGGGAAGAGTAAAAGTTCATTGGTCTAGACAAAGGGGAATGAAGGGAAGGGAGCAGGGATGGGGATAGGAACGGCAGTAGAATGAATTGGACGTGACCTTCCTATGTTCTTTAATGAATACATGACCAGCGTAGCTCCACATCATGTACAACCGCAAAAATGGGAAGTTAGACTCCACGTATGTATATCAAAATCATTTGACTGTCATGTATAACTAAGAACAAATAAATTAGGTAGATAAATTTTGCATTTCTCCTTCTTTTACCAAACAAGAGTTATTTGATTTCTTGAACATCAAATAAAAAGAACAAATAAATTAAAAAATTAAATGGCAGAATGTCTGAACGTATATAATAAAGGGATGTGCTAGAAAACGTGACTTCAAAATGATTCCTTTGTTGTTTATGAATGCATCATGCAAAAGCTTCCCTGGTTCTTTTTATTACAAAAGAACTGGAAGGAAGGATCTTTGGAAGTGTCGGAGTAGATCTCCTTCAATTCTCTTCTATTTAAATATTTTTTAAACACCACATTTAGTATTTCTTTGTAATTTCTGTGGAACATATTTTTCCCTTGGTTGATGTTTTCTATTTTTCTTAATTGGGAATGACATTAAATTTAGGGAAGAACATTATCTTCCTTCTTTCCTTATTTTACCTCTTCTTCTAGTTCAGATCATAATTTTTTTCCTTGAAACAATATTGATGACTTGCTTCTCCAGCATTTTCTAAGACCAATTTTCAAAATGCATATATTTAAAATGGGTTTCTCCCATGTGTATATATTTTAAAATATATTCTACTTTCATGTATAACTAAAAAGAACAAATAAAAATTTTAAAAAATTTCTCTGCATTATATGTGATTAAAATGTAACAAACAATTAAAGAATAACCTTTGGCCCTTGTAGTCCTTGAGGTCCAGGAGGTCCAGGGGGACCCTAAATCAAAAAAAGTCAGAGTTTTAAAAAGTAGCAAGTATGTATATATGTATTAAAATTCATGCTTTAAATAATAGGCACTCAACACACCTCCATTATTTCTATCATAATTAGTTTCCTCCCAATATTTATGTGAAGTGGGAAAACATCTCACTTGTTACATAATTATTACAACTATACTTATATGCTAAAATATTAACATGCTTTAGGTCAAAATAATACTCAAGATGCTTTTGGTTTTGTAAGACAGTTTTAAAATTGCTTCCATGTCCCACATTCATCTTGGTGGGATGAATTCGTCTCCTCATATTACCTGTGTCTTTAGATATACTCCTTTCCCTCCACCCCAAAGAACAAAGCTTTGAGAAGGTCAAAGACTTAAGAAAATGAATAATTTTTCTCATAATTTTTCATGAAACAAGGTGATTCAACTAGAGCAAATGTTGTAAAGGTTATTAATATAAAGAAAAATGAGATTAAGTATTGATAAGACAGTTGCTCCCTGAGTACCATTTTGCCCTGCATGCATCAACACTAAAGACACAGACCACAGAAATCATGCGATAGGAGTTACCGTGACAGTTAAGGTGGTAATCCTCTGTTGGGAAAATGTATTGATAAATAGTTATCTATTTTGTATGTCAAAGTACAATAATACATTTCTGAAAAAAAATCAACTTTGAACGTTTTGACAGATCTAATGTCTTATAAGGAACTGACAAGATTCTTAGAACACATCCTATTTTCAATAGAGTATAATTGTTAAGATCTTTAAAATATATTTTTATAATTTTATTTTTAAAAAATCCATGGGTAACTGGATGTGGTGGCACATGCCTGTAATCCCAGCTAATGGGGAGGATGAAGCAGGAGAATTGCAAGTTTGATGCCAACCTGGGCAAATTAGCAAGACCCTGTCTCTAAAAAACCTGCCAGGGATATAGCTCAGTGGTAGAGAGCTTGCCTAGAATGTGCATGGCCCTGCCTGGGTTTCAGCTCTAGACCTGAAAAAAGAGTCAAAATTCTATTTATCTGATTAAAATAATGTGTAGTAAAGTAATATACACTACAGGCCCATCAGCATAGTTGTGAACTTAGAAATTTGCTATTGATCAAAGTGCTTTCTCTAGGAGGGAAAACTGAAATATCCAATTGCATTTCTTTTGTCCTGTAGTCTATAGCTCATTTGCTGAGCTAGAATTAACTTTTTTTGTTATATGTGCCATAACTAAAGAAATTAATAGTGAGTTAATCTAATTTCTTAATGTGCTAGAGCACCTTAACAAAAAACATGATTCCTAATCTTTGAATCATGTTCTTGTATAACTATTTTCTAATTTACATCTTGTACTAAAAGTTCAGCAGGGTCTATTAGCCACTTTAATGAAACCAGAGAGGGGAGAACATTTTCCATTAAGGGCGTTGGTCATAGAGAAACTATCGGATTACATGTAAACTTGTGGATATCAGATTAACACCATCTCTTTGTTTTCCATTACTCTGTTCCAATCTCTGACTCAAGCTGTTGTTGTTTTTATTGTTGTAAAAAAAAAGTAAAAAGTAACATCTCACTTTAATCACTTGAGTCTTTCATGACATGGTATCATCATTCCTTAGAAAACAATGTTTATACATGTGTACACATGGTTAAAATTTTTATTCCAGGATAAAATTAATCATGGTCATTATAACTTCAGAGAAATCAGTAGGAAAAAAAATTAAGTGATTCTAAGACAAAAGACAAAATGGACACAAACTGATTTAAAAAAAAAATTAAAGATTTTGGAGGAGAGTGAGCAAGGTGAAGCCATTCAATAGCTTCTGAAGACTGTCATATTACAGTCTTCTGTAGGGTATATATATATCCTTATAAACAAGGGTCCAGAATTTAATAACAGCATACCTGTGTAATGTAAGGTAACACATACTTTCTTTCCTTTTTTCTTTTCCTTTGGTACTGGGGATTAAAACCACAGGCGCTTTATCACCACTGAGCTCATCACTAGCCCCTTTAATTTTTTGAGACAGCATCTCACTACATTGCTTAGGGTCTCACTAAGTTGTTGAGGATGACCTAGAACTTGTGATCCTCCTGCCTCAGTCTTCTGAAGTTTCTGGGATTACAGGCATGTGCCACAGCACCCAGCCAACATACTTTATACTTAAGGGATTTACCTGAACAAGAATTGGATTTATATTTATAAGAAAGCTTCTTCACTTATATAGTAAAAAAATGAGTCATTTAAACAAGGCTATTAGAAAATTACAGAACAGAAATAATTTATTTATCATTGCTTCCAGTATTTTTAACTAGAAAGCAGAGTTCCAAAAACTTACAAAGGGAAGCACGTTTACAATGTGAACTCAGATTTTCCAACATGAGGCCATGTAAGAATTCACTTTTCCATCTAAATAAACACAAGGCTAATATGTCCATTTTAAAAAAACTTAAGGATAACAACATGTTTTATAATGAGCCACATAACAAAGGACATTATTAATGGTAACTGAACTAACAGATGGGATTTAAATGATTTCCTTAACTGTAAGACCTAAAAACTGCCTAAGGTTCCATCCAGCTTTAGAAGAACACGTCACAGCAAACTCAGCTAACTTCACAAGCACCTTACATTGATCACCTTCTGGAAGTATCAGTATGTATACCCACAGAAAAGTCATAAAGATGCTTGCTTGCTTTGGATGTCTTCTATCTGAATCCTCTAAGTTAAAGCTACATAAACCCAGCAGGGTTCTCTCTCAAACTCCAGTAATAATGTAAACAAACAAACAAACAAAAAACCTAGAATTTATGGCAGTGGTGGAGAAAGACATAACTTTTTCCAGAGACACATGAGGAACAAGGGAGGCAAGGCTTAGAGCAACTGCAGATGGGGGAAGACTAGCAGGCTGTATTGTGGCTTATTTGCTGAAACGCTTCTATGAACTCCCTATTTTCTTTCATTTCTCATAATGATAATGATGCCAACTTAAAATCTCTAATGATTTACACTAAAGAACAGGGTTATTTTAGAAGGTGATGAGAATTTGTTAAAACCTGAATCAGGAAACAGGTTTTATTGCAAATGGTGAAAATTCAACTACCTTAAATAAAAATAAAGAACTTAGATCAATGTTTATATAAATAACAATTTTCTTTTCATAGACCAATGCAATTTAATAGTCTTCCTAACAGGGTACAAGAGAGTAATGCACAAAATAATAACAGTACTGAACAGGTTCAGTACTAGGAAGAGGGACAGAATAAAATACCCTAAAAAGAAACTTGGAGTAGTCCTGGGCAGAGAAGGGGAAAATAAAATAGAAATAGGCTCTTTTTGATTTTGCCTTGTGTCAAAAGAAAAAATAATAAAATCTCTCAGGTTTTTATTTCACTCCACAATTTCAGTTCCAGTTAAAATTATACAGAAGTACTTTGTTATATGGGTTGAAAGCTTTTCATTTGACTATAAATGAGAATTATAAACATGAGAATTATAAACATCAAATCCAGAACACCAAATATCTCAGGCATACTGTATGTATAGGGTTTCAACTATATTGGGTAATATTGTCTCTCTTAAATTGGGTTCTGGACCCACAGAAGTTTATACTATTTTTTGATAATTTTTCATAATCTGATATTTTATAGAATACTTTTCAATAGAAGCAATGTAAAATTTTATATTTCTCACATGATATTATAACTGTAATATAGTCCTCTTTATCTAATTATCCTAGAGATTTTTTGGCAAATTTTTTGTAGAAGGCAATAATTATATCTATAAAACTATAAACATCCATTACTAGTTAGAAAAGCAGAAGAATAAATGTCTACCAACTCTTCTCAATCCAATAGCTGTCTAGCTGAATTGATTTTATTAGGGACTCTTAATCCACCAGAGTACTATGTTTGGAAAACCAATAAATAGTTTTGAAGTGAAAAAACAACTATATGCTATTTACAAGCATAACATATGGTTGCCCTAACAACCTCATAAGGATAATAAATCTTAAGGTTTGAACTTCGGCATGATAATATTAAATGCATATGCTTATAGTCACACTGAACTTGAAGTAAGAAAAAGAAACAGAACACATATCCTTGTATATCAAAAAGCAGGTGTCTGTGCCTACTAGAAGAGAAAGTAGGCCCCAAACTCCATCAGTCAGCATAGGAACCAATTCCTCAACAAGACTTCTAAACTGCAAGAAGTAAAATCAAGAATCAATAAATGGGATAGAATCAAACTAAAAATCTTCTCCACAGCAAAGAAAACAATCAAGAACAAGAAGAGAGAGCCTGTAGAATCAGAGAAAATCTTTGCCACATGCCTCAGATAGAGCATTAATCTCCAGGATATATAAAGAACTCAAAAAACTTAACAACAAAAACCCTACAAATAACCCAATCAATAAATGGGCAAAGGCACTGCATAGGCACTTCACAGAAGAAGAAATACGATTGGTCAACAAATATATGGAAAAATGTTCAACACCTCTAGCAGTTAGAGAAATGCAAATTAAAACTACACTGAGAGTTCATCTCACTCCAGTCAGAATGGCAGTTATCAAGAATACATGTAACCATAAATGTTGGTGAGGATATGGGTAAAAAAGGCACACTCACACATTGCTGGTGAGACTGCAAATTGGTGCAACCACTCTGAAAAGAATTGTGAAGATTCCTCAGAAAACTTGGAATGAAATCACTATTTGACCCAGTTATCCCACTCCTTGGTTTATACCCAAAGGACTTAAAATCAGCATACTAAAGTGATACAGCCACATCAATGTTTATAGCAGCTCAATTCACAATAGCTAAGCTATGGAACCAACCTAGGTGCCCTTCAACAGATGAATGGATAAAGAAAATGTAATATATACACACAATGAAAAAGTACTTAGCCATAAAGAAGAATGAAATCATGGCATTTGCAGTTAAATGAATGGAACTGGAGACCCTCATGCTAAGTGAAATAAGTCAATCCCCCAAAAGCAAAGGCTGATTGTTCTCTCTGGTATAAGGATGCTAATTCATGATAGGAGCGGGGGAGGGAAGAATGGAAGCTCACTGGATTAGACAAAGCAGAATGAAGGGAAGGGGGGGAATTGGGAATAGGAAAGACAGTAGAATGAATCTAACATAACTTTCCTATGTTCATATGTGAATACACGACTAGTGTAATTCCATATCATGTACAACCACAAGAATGGGAAGTTATACGCCATGCTTGTATAGTACATCAAAATACATTCTACTGTCATGTATAACTAAAAAGACCAAAAAATTTTAAAAAAAGAATCTGAAGTTTATATTCATATCCATGACAAAGGGAAACAGAAGATACTGTCCAGTTTTCAGCCTGCATTTCTTTGGAGTACACTGTTTTTGAAAATTTAAAAAAAATGAGCATAAAAAAGAATAAAGAGCAGGTATATCAGATTTTTAAAAAAGGACAGTGCTTTGAGGTACATCAATAAAGTGTTCAGGAGCTTCTAAAAACAACCTGAGATAATATTATATTTCATGGACTCCTAGCAAAGTATCTATTCCAATGATATCCTCATTTTTCAGATAAGATCAATGAAGTACAGATACAATGATTTCCCCCAAATGACCCTGCTCATTAGTAGTAGAGGGAAGACTAAAACAAATATTTCCACTTTAGGCTAAGAGTAGTTAAAAGCCAGACCCTGTTCTTGCAAAGAATGCTTTAAAATTTTTTCCACAATTTTGTGGAAAATGACCAATTACATTTTATTGGAAAATAAGAGCAGATACCTTTTGGTTTGGCGGGTACTGGGAATTGAACTCAGGGGCACTCAACCACTGAGCCACATCCCAGCCCTATTTTGTATTTTATTTAGAGACAGGGTCTCACTGAGTTGCTTAGCACTTCACTTTTGCTGAGGTTGGCTTTGAAATCACAATCCTTCTGCCTCAGCCTCCGAGCCACTGGGATTACAGGAGTGCACCACCACACCCAATGAGGGCAGATACTTCTTATAGGTGAAGGTAGGAATTATGTTGTCCTTGGAATTAGTTTAAGAGAAATGTACAGCATTGCTGATAAATTAAGTTTTAAAAGTGTCCCTGTATTTTAATGTATAAGTTAATATTTTGAAAACATAGTAGGTACACTAGAATTTTGTATATTCTCTTTCTCTCCATAAGCAGTTATTGGCTTAAGAGGAAAAGGGAACAGTTTAATAAACTGGTTCTAGAACTTAACCATAACACTGAGGCCACTGCTTATGTGTAAGCCACTTATATTGGAGAAAACCAGTCACATTGTGGCCTGAATATACTGTCTGAGCAAGGTTTCTCCAGCCAAGAAACATGCTTCTCTTTGCATTTAGGAGGAGAGAGAGAGAAAGAGAGAGAAAGAGAGAGAGAGAGAGAGAGAGAGAGAGAGAGAGAGAGAAAATAAGGGAGGGGAGGAGGTAACCAGGAAAAAAAATGGCTGAGCTGAAGACAGATTTTGTACACATTAATAATAAATACTTTACTGGTTAAAAATAGTGGTAGTAAAAAAGGACACATAGAAGTGTAAATCTACCAAAGTTAGATCACATTAGTGAGGCTGAAAAAATGATTTAAAGAGGTATAAAATGGAAAAATATTTAAAATTAGTTTGTCTTTCAAACTAAAAAAGGAACTTGTACATAAAAAGTACACATACTCATTTAACCACTAAACCTCAATAGAAAGCATGACCAACAGATTAGTCCACTTGGAAGACAGGACCTCAGACAATGAAGACAAAATATATAATCTCAAAAAGAATGTAGATCACACAGTGAAGATGGTAAGAAACCATGAGCAGAACATTCAAGAAATATGGGATAACATAAAAAGACCAAATTTAAGAGTTATTGGGATAAAGGCATAGAGTTCCAAACCAAAGGGATGAACAATCTATTCAATGAAATAATAGCAGAAAATTTTCCAAACACGAAGAATGAATTGGAAAACCAAATAGTATAAGAGGCTTACAGGACACCAGATATACAAAATCACAACAGATCTACACCAAGGCACATTATAATGAAAATGTCTAGCATACAGAATAAGGAGAGAATTTTAAAAGCCACAAGAGAAAAAAAATCAAATTATATATAGAGGGAAACCAATTAGGATATCTGCAGATTTTTCAACCCAGACCCTGAAAGCTAGAAGATCCTGGGACAATATATACCAAGCTCTGAAAGAAAATGGATGCCAACCAAGAATCATATCCAGCAAAATTAAGCTTTAGATTTGATGATATAAAAACCTTCCATTATAAACAAAAGTTAAAAGAATAGAAAGCCTGTACTACACAACATCCTCGGCAAAATATTCCACGATGAGGAAGTGAAAAACAACAATGAAAATCAGCAGAGGGAGGTAAACCTTTATAGCATCTTTACATGCCCACACAATGTAAGCATAGTTTTCTGTTGTCAAGAAACTTACAATTTGGTAAGAGGAAAATTAAAATCAATTATGTAATTTGAGAACAATTAAATGGTAATGTTAGAACCTGACTGGTAATGTGGAAAAGTATTAAGAGAAAGAACTCAAGAGGGTGACAACGTAGATTTTAGGATACTATTTAGATGGATGAAAGAAAGGGAAAAAAGAATGGGATGAAGATTTATATGGACACTATAAAAATGACCATGCCAGGGGGAACTCTGTGTTGCAAAGAAATAAAAAGTTCTGCATAAGAAAGGCAGATTATAGAGCCTTAAATGTCAGATGGAGGAGATTAGGCTTGATAGAGTACGCAATAGGGGGTCATTTAGATTCCTGAGCAAATTAGAACAATTATAGTAATGGCAGTTTATGAAAATCATCCTGGGAGTGATACATAGTTTGGATTAGAAGGGCAAGGAGGCACTAGCGGAAGATATATTGATCAAGGGTTTGTTATGGAGTTAGGTATGCAGTAAACAGGATGTGGACCTCCTTGGGAATGGAGAGGATGGAAAACAGAATGGATGAAGGACTAAGACTAGTGTAAAAATGGCTCTAAAGCTTCTACTCCACGAAATACAAAGACTCCACTGACAGAAACTGGTTAGTCAAGAAAGGGGATCATTTGGTAGGTGGGCAGAGTAACCAGCACAATCCTGGGCATTGGTGGAAATCGATGGGCAATGGTGCACCTATAGGGAACTGTTCCTACAAGTACACCAAGATCAGATCCCAAGATGACAGAATTGGAATCGTAATGTGAAGAACACAGGGGGAGTCATTAAGAAAAGATCAGATACTTCAGAATATAAAAAACTGGGGTGTGGACAGAGAAATTGGACACACCAACACAGAATAGCACCATGAAGGAAAATGGAAGTAGAGTCTGAAGAAAAAGAATTTTAAAAGGAAGGTGGTTTGGTACAAATGTCACAGAAAAGTCAAGAATGACAAATATGATGGGCTTTATCTAGAGGTTATCATTGATCTTTGTAAGAGAAGTTGCAATAGATTGACAGGGACTCAAGTGCAGGAGTCTAAATCTGAAGAGGAAGAGTAAGAAGCAAAGGTGGTGGAGCCGTCTAGTCTATTTTTGACTTAACGGAAGGAAAAGAATTGAATGGTAGCAGTTGTAAGAAATACTTACAGGGGGGTTATGAGGTGCTAAGCACTGTTTTAAGCATAGGCTATGTAGTAGGTCATTTGCTCTGTTCAGGAACCCTATGAAGCAGATATCATCTCATTTTATAGATGGGAAAACCAAGGCACAGGGAAATGAAATAACTTGCTCTAGGTCATGCATTTAGTAAGTAAGAGGGCTGAGATTTGAACCTGAGCAATTTCCACTCTAGAGCCATAGAGCTCTTAATTGCTTTGCCCAGCTCCCTCTTTAAGCAAAGAAGTAAAAGTCAACCAAATTAACACAAAGTTTATACTTGATAAGGCTTAGGAATGTTTGAAGGTAGAAGGGAAAAAAAAAGAAAGAGAGAGATTTCAAATTGCTATGAGGTGAAGATTACTGGGGCCAGATACTGGAATGGGCTCAGGATGACAGGGAGCAGGTGTGCTTCAAGGAATGGAGTGCTCTGAGATTAAAGGGGTGTGGGAGCTTATGCTGGCGTGTGCTACATGGCACCCATCAGTGTTCTCCTTGTGTCTCAGGGCAGGGAGCAGTCACTTGCCTGTAAGGCTTCATGGAGGTTGCCATTGTAGTCTATGATTTCGGTGGCTCCTTGATCTCCTTTTTGCCCAGGTGGACCCTACAACAAAAATGAATTGAGGGAACACCATGGGAGTTAGACTGGTGTATAACAGGACTATAGAAAACACAGAAGCAAAGCTGGGGTTGTGGCTCAGTGGTAGAACGCTTGCCTAGCACATGTGAAGGCCTGGGTTCGATCCTCCGCACCACATAAATATAAATAAAATAAAGGTATTGCATCCAACTACAACTAAAAAATAAATATTAAAAAAAGAAAACACAGAAGCAATATCTTGTGGCTCTCTCTGACTATTGCTTCCTCGCCAGGACCCAAGTGCAAACCACTTCTAACTTCCTGTCTGTGGTAGGTAAAAGATTTTTGAAAGACCTATGATTTAAACTCTGAAACCATTTTCTGAACATTATACAATACAGGCTAATCTGATGTGATTTACAAAATTTTATTAGCTTTATTCACATTTATTTTAAAACCTCCTATCCGCTTTCCACTCATCTATACCTGATAAATTATACCTTCTCATTCCTTAAGAAGATAGAATAACGTTCTATGGGAAATGCTTGGCTTTCCTAGTGGGAATAGAATCCCATGAAAAGGAAGCCAAATAAGGAACAAAAAGAGACTTCTACTCGACTCATTATATCTGCTACATAATTTCCATTAGTCATGTCCTAATTCCCTGCCTGTTTTAAAAAATACTCTAAACAAATGGGCTATTGCTCTCTTTATAATCGGGTTAATTGAAACATGGGAAATTCTATTATCTGTATGGCTGTAGGCTCGCTATTACTCCTTTGTCAGAAGGAAAGTTTTACACCTTCTCAATAAAGCTTATTGTACATGCTAGAATGTCCACACTCACTGCATGTGCTAGAATGTCCACACTTATTGCTCCTGGAAACAAAAGTCAAAAATAAAGAGAAGGGGGAAGGGAAGGCAGCAGGAATATTTAGAGTGGCCCTTCTCCAATGCTATTATTGGGCATTATTAGTCCAGATGGCACTCATAAGGTCACATACACACATACTACATCAAGTCTGAGTTTGTAGGGGGCAAAAAAGTTGATATAAGAGGGTTCACTTACCCTTGGTCCCAGAGCTCCAGAGTCTCCTTTGTCACCACGGTCACCCTTTCCCAATTAAAAAAGAAAAAAGTTAATTAGTAGTAGGACCAATGGTCTAGAAATTTCTCAAGTCTAAGGATGTTTTTATACCATAGTGCATCCCTTTAAATATAAACTTCTGATGTGGAAAACAATAACAATCACCACCAATGCACCAATGCAAATGCTTTTTTTTTTTTTTTTTAAGATGTACCTTACAGGGCTGGGGTTGTAGCTCAATGGCAAACTAATCTTCAGCACCACATAAAAATAAATAAATAAAGATATTGTGTGCATCTACAATTAAAAATATTTAAAAAATAAAAAGATGCACCTTACAGGTAATCACAACTTCCCTTTCAGATAATTATTGTCTTGGAACAATAGTATAGTTTATATAGTAACTTTGCTAGGTGGAATCTACATAAACAAAGCAAGTGGTTTCTACAGCAACCAAAGTCCATACGAACTGAGCTATGTTCTTTTTAGTTAGAGGGATTTGGGGCAAAGGGAAAAAAGGTCAAACAGTTGTGTTGCCTGTTTTCAGAGAAGAAACATATAGATAATTGGGACAGAGAGGAACAGAGAGCTCATTATAGGGAGAATTAGGAAAGTAGGGTCACAGACTAGACCTCCTTTTGATGATGGAGATCTAAGGCAAAGTTCAACTGCAGGTATAGGCATTTTAACCCTTGGTGCTGAAGTGGACAGCAGCCAGTGGGAACAGGTTGGCAGGGACGAAGGTCAGGGGCAGGGCAGTGCTTTCTCCCCGTCCCCCTTCAATCCAATATAAAAATCTCTGAAATTTTATTTATGATGTCAGAACTCCACTTGTAAAGACACTATGAATAGTCTAAGCCCTCAAAATTAGTCCAAACTGCAACTTTGGAGAAAACATTTCAAACTGTGTAGATTTGAAGGTTCTTGAAAATAGCTTAAATTTAGAGACTTTTCCTACATGGAATTCAAAACATTTTTGTCTTTCTACCTATCTCTATGAAATGGGTAAGAAAGGTAAGAAAGGAAAAGGATTATAAATTTACCCATCCACATAATGCTAATAACATCACCCATAATAATGTAATTTGCTGTGAATGGAGAATTAATAATCTCTAATTTCTGCTTTCTTCATTTTGTACCCATTTTTCCATGTTATCAGCCAATGGTACTTTAATTAACTGTTAATGACTCTGCCAACAGCACATATGTTCTTGCAGACAAGATAAAGAACACGACAAAGAAAAGGAATTTAATTGGTGGGCAAATTTTAATGCAATGAAGGAAGTCACCTTATTTAAAGGCAAAATATAACTTGAATATTTATCATAAATATAGGCAGGAAGTGAAAAGTAAGATTATACAATTAAGTACTTTTTTCCCCAAAGAAGTGCTAAAAACAAAAAGAAAATATAACTTATCAAAGAAAGACCTACAGCACAAGAACATACAAAAACAAAAAGATAAGACAATTTTTTGATATTATCATAGGGACAAAATTATTGCAATCCCTGTGTGTGAAAGCTTTTAATCTAAACATGATTCTCCATGGAAAAGGCAAAAAGGACAGATCGTGAGGCCTCAAGTTACATTAAAATGTTACCCAGTTACTGACCTTGGACCCCTTTGGGCCTCTAGTTCCTGATTCACCTTGTTTCCCCTATGACAGGAGAAGATGAAGATGAAAAGGGAAAATGACAGAGGAGATAAGAACAGGAAAAGGAAATTAGCAGTGACTCAGAATAACGAGGAAACAGGGAAACACTTTATTTTAACGGCCTCAATATGTATATGGCTGGTGAATACAACACTAAGCACACATATCATCACCGTATCATTAGTTCGCTCCCTGGTTTTCCCATCAGCCTTCATTCCATTATTACTCTGAAGACAGCCCTCCCCCATCAGTGGATGGGAAGAGTACTGTAAGTAATTCTCATTAGTCTCAACAATGCTCGTCTGCATAAATTTCCTTTTCATCAGATTGTAAATCGTTTCCCATAGCTCTCGGATAGGTTATTAAAATAAAGTGTGGCCACATTAGTTTGCAGGAAGTTTAGATGAATCAAGATTGAACAGGTAAACAAATCCTTAGCTCTAATATTTTCAAGGTTTTACACTCCATCAAGTTACCATGGAAATGAGCACAGCACTTACCAACAGAGATTTTTCTCAGTAGGTTTTAATACACATCAAGTGATAACAGGTTAATATGACGGTATTCTCCCTTTACACTTGAATGTGTCATTAAATTTGTTCACTGAACTGAACAGAGTAAACAGGGAAAGTTGAATTATAAAATCCCTTTTGAAAACAAGCAATCAGTATGCATTTCAATAAGTTATTTCTAATTTTAGCTGTTTTAATACCTGTTGAGGAATTTTCTACAAAATGTTCTACAGGCAAGTGGCAGGCATTCCTAAATCAAAGAGTGTTCTCTTTCAATGTAAGCATAACTGACCTTTGGTCCAGGGACTCCAGGATCCCCTCGCTCACCTCTTCCAGGAGGCCCTGCCTCCCCACGTTCACCCTGTCACAAATTAGAAGACAGGTAAATGACACGCCCAGATGGGTCAGTGTGGATACTAAATAAATTGAATAAAATAAAAATGAGCAAAGAGGCACCATTTACTTACTATGTACTCAGCACTGTTCTCATCTCTTCACTGAATTATCCCATTTAATAATAAAAAACAATCTTTGCTGGTTAATTTAAGTGTCTGGATTAAGGAATACCTAGAGATCTGGTAAAGCATTATTTCTGGGTGAGTCTGAGAAGGTTTCCAGAGGAAATTGGCATATAAGTCAGTGGACAGAGTGGGAAAGATCTACCTTCCATGTGGATGGCCATAATCAACTTGGCGGGGGGGCTAGGCAAAACAAAAAGGCAAAATCTCCCTCTACCCCTCCTAGACCAAGGACACCCTTCTTTTCTTGCCCTTGGACATCAGAACTCCAGAGTTCAGCCTTCAGACTCCAGAGTGTGCACCAGTATTCCCTGTGTTCTCAGGCCTAAAGCCTTAAAGAATCAGTCAGCTGCCCTGGTTCTAAAGCCTTTGGACTTGGACTGGGTCACAAGAATTGGCCTCTCTGGACTCCCTCCTGCCTGCCGATGGCCTATTGTGGGACTTCTTAGCCTCCTTATCACAGTAGTCCATTCCCCTAATAAATTCCTATCCCTCCATCCATCTTGGTTCTGTCTCTTGGGAGAACTCCAAACTAACATACAATTATGCAGCATTCCCATTATCATCCCCATTATATAATCAAATGGCTAGGCAAATGCCTGTCAGATGGCTATGTTGTTAAATAGAAAGCCCTTTAAAGAGAATTGATAAAAGCTATCATCTATCTCAAGACAGGAATTGACATTAATTCTCATTCTGCAGTCACTTTTTAAGTATTATTGTCAAGAAGCATGGCATAGTGGTTATTTCTCAGGCTTTGTAACATGTAAGATTTTAATTCTCTGTCATTTGCCAGCTCGGTATTTTGGGACAAGTTTGTTAAATTCTGCAGGCCTCAGTTACCCTGATCTCAAAACTTCAGAATGGTGTAAGACAGAAGAATTGTAGCTTTTTCAAATATTAGTAGCTCTGTGAAGTCTAAAGATGCTTACTGTCCTCTAGGAGCCAGTGACCTAATTAGACAAGATCCACAAGAACAAATCCATTAATAATTAAGGATTAATGTAAGGCTCTATGTGACAGAAGAGGAAACACCACTGAACCTTAAATGTTGTCGACTAGCTCTCTGGAGGTGAGACTCAAATCACATCCTAAAGGGTCTATAGGGCTTACTTTATAACCACTGATGAGGGCAGGAACTGTACAAAATACACGCATTAACCTATTTAATTCTCAAGACAAACAAGACAGATATTCACATTCTACAGACAAAGAAACCAAAAATGAGAGCTGTTGCCCAAAGTAATAAAGCTTTTAAAGAAAAAGAGCTGAAATTTAAAACTGATTACGCTCAATCTTCAATTGTTGCATAATTGTATACCAATTTTGTATATTCTCTAATCATTTTCATAAGATAAATTCCTAGTTGGGGAAATTCCTGGGTTAAAAGTATGAATGTTTTTAAGTCTTGCCAAAGATGGTGCCATTTTATGTTCTCTAGAGACTGTTTTGTTTCCTACAAGATGGGTAGAATTTCAATAATCAGACTTGGAATTCAGACAGTGGATGGTGTGTTATAGAAGAGAGAGTTGCCTTCCTCACTGAAGAAACTGATTCATTTTGGAAAGGATAAGAAAGAAGGATTGGATCCAGGATGGGTAACACAGGGCTCCAAATTCAGAAATCCTTTTCTGCAACATGCCCACTTTGGGAAGCCTTTGTGGTTTTGCAGGTGATGTGGGACAGGAATGAAAGACTCAGTAGGTGTCTGAGCAGCAACAGAGGAGGGTGTGAAGATGGGAGGCTGAGAGAAAGGCCAGGGGCTTGACCGGACACAGAAGATGGTAAAGATGGTCCAGAAGCCGAGGGACTTCCTTCTATTTTTGTCTTTTGATCCCTCTGTAACAGAGTGAGACTGAAGGACTTCTCTTGGCATATGGAATTTTTATTAACTATAAGATTATCTTAGGGAAAAATAAAAACCTAAAAAAATCAATGCATCCGTAGTTTCCTATAGTAGCGAAGTCTACATATCTTTACATGGAATCACTTTTTTTTTTCTTCTTTTCTTTTTTAAATCACAATGCCCCTAACTAGTTTGCCTGAAATACTATTTGTTTGTTTATTTCTTTTTCTCCTTTTGCCCCTTCCTCACCCACAGTGGATGTAAGCTTTAGGAGGGGAGAGAATGTTTTTGTTGCATTGATTCTCCTTTCTCAATACCAAAAAATCAACCAACCAAACAAAAAAATCCGGAAAACTTCACTGACTTAATAAATACACAATGTTACTCAGAGTATTCTAAAATAGTCTGATGAAAACATAATTTCTTTAGACAGATGTAGGTTCCTCACAGGCACTGATGTAGGTGCTCAGGACACACTACAGACTTTCAGATGAGATTATACATCTTTCTTCACTATGATTTCTCTTTGCTGGTGTTGGGAAAAAAATGCAACCTTATTTTATTTTTTAAATCTGAAGCCAGTGGTACAAATCCAGACTGACTATATGAATAGAAAAGAGTACTGTTGGATGGAGATTTTAACATAATCATAACTCTTACCTTGATACTGAGCTCAAGACAGGCAATTCAGTTGTCAATTAACTTCAAAATATTGCTAATGAAATAAATTTCCTATCCACAGCTCTGCTTGTGAACCCAAGCAAGGACAGCACATTCTTTTACTGGGGGTTCAGAGTAGTATCTGTCATGAAGTATATGGTCTATAGAATCATGCTAGGTTCTTCATGTCTGGATTTTTTTTTAAATTTGAAACTGTAGAGTAATTTATGATCAGTTAAGTAAAGAAGAGATACTTAGAGATCAACTCCACTCTCTACTGCCTGGGTTTCTTTAATTTTCCCATGTATATAAACAAAGTGCACCAGCATTTACAGATGTAGTCCATGCTGGTTTTCTCCTACAGTGACCAGCCCTCCCCTTTGTGTGTCCTGCTCATCTTCAAGGCTGCTTCCTTTCCTCCCCCAACACACAGCAGTTCTTAGATCAATAGGGAATGCTCATTATTCTCTTGCTTTCTCTCTTTTTCTTCCAGAAAGGCTTTTCTTGTGTGAATCTGTTCAGGCTAAAACAGGCATTCCTCATACTTCACTAATAAGCCTGACAGCTCATTATGTGGCAAAAAAAAAAAAAAAAAATTCTTAAGAAAATAACAATTTTGTATAATTCCACTGAGTTTCAGACCCCCTTTGGCCACACATAGTTTCCATGTACGAGGATTAGAGTTATTTTTACTTGACCAGCGGAAATGAGGACTAGTCCTGTCAGAACAGATCATGAACATATTTCTTTAACTCTTGGGAATCATCCCTGGCTTTCTTCTGGGGAAAACAATATACATTGAGGCAAAGACCATATAAAAGTGGTATAAAAATAAAAGAATGTAGTTTGATGTCATTTCCCCATCCTTTGATTCATGCGTCTGTCATGAGTCCAGTTCTATCATCAGAGCTGTACTTTTTTTTATGTCTTACTGGGTAGATAAAGAGAATCCTGGGTCTGACTGTCTCTGCAGCACCATATAAACCTTTTGCTTTTAGAGTCCTCTCTATGGCTACCATGTCAAGGAGCATGAGATGGTTTTCATTACAGAATATTTCTGCAGTTATCATTCAGGGTGGAGCCTTTTGGAAAAAAAGCACTTGGAAATCTATATGATATCTGTACTTGCCTTTGAAATCTAGGGAGCGATAGGAATAGTAATAATGTTTGATTTACAAGTATATCCTAAAGTGGGTGATGAGCAGCAGGAGTTAATGAGTTATCTCCCTCCTCTTCACAGTTCCTCTACTGTTCCATAAGGCCAGAAGGTTAATAGCATCATAACAATTTAGGAGGGATCTGGAGGACAAGTTAACAATACATTCCACAAGTCTGTCTTGCTTAAGGGTTTCTGGAATTGACTTTCCTTTGCTCTATTTAGTAATGGTGATCTCTCTAGAAGTGCCATTAATGGCACATTAGACTGCTTTATTTCTTAAGGCAGAAATATCTGGTCACCTCTTTCAACAAGTATGACAAAAATTAAAAAAAAAAAAAAAAAGGAGCAGAAGAAAAGACTCCACTTACTTTTGTTCCTGGTAATCCTGGTAAGCCTGGTTCCCCCTGAGGACCAATGAAACCTGGTTCTCCCTTTGAAAAGATGGGCACACAAGATCACTGTTAATTTGACAGTAAATAAAGCTAAATTCATTTCCTCCCTTTGGTATTTTACTTCCTTGAAAGTATACTACAGTTTTGCTGAGATCAAGTTATTGTCTATAAAATTAATCAGAACTGGTTTTGATCTAATGAAAACTCTTTGAGAAATACTCTGGAAAATTAGATCAATTGTTTCACATTTTTTCCCTCATCTGTTTTCCAATGGATTTTTTTTTTAATCACTTACCAAATTAAGACCGGTTGTGATTGGGTGATGTGGTAGGTGTCCTCTAAGATGGGCTTCAGTGATCCCACTCCTGTGTATCTGCCCTTGTGTAATTCCCTCCCCTTGAGTATGACCAGATTTACTGATTCACAGCTTATGAACAGAATATGAAGAAGTGATGGGAAAGTATAAGCTGTAAAAAGACAGAGGTGGCTTCCACTTGGGGAACCTCTCTTGTTTTTTCTCACTTGGATCTCTTGCTTTGGGGAAGGAAGCTGCCTTATTGTGAGCAGCCCTTTAGAGAGGCCCACACTGTAGAATGAAACCAGCCAACAACCACACATGCAAATTTGGTCGTGGATGCCCCAGCCTTGTAGAATGTTCTGTAAGACACAGTCTTGCTGACTATTTCACTGCAACCTCATGGGAGATTCTGAGCCTAAGGCACCTAGCCATTCTGTGCTTGTATTATAGTCCCTCAGAAACTGTGAGATAATTAATATCCATTGTTTTAAAGTACTAAGTTTTAGGGTAAGATGGTAGGCAGCAATAGATAACTGATATGATAGATATAGCTAGGGAAGAGACTCAGGAATGGAAAGCATGAAATATAAAAATCTTCCTTGCCATATCTGCAGAATCATTATTTCCATCATCTGTAGAAACTCCAGTTGTGGTGTAATTGGACCTACATTTGGTCCTGGTCCCCAACTCTTGGCACAGACCTCTTAAAACCCTGGGAATATTCTTAATGATAGAGGCAAGGGACATTTGTTACTCTTAACAGTCTCTTCCAACTATACCTGATTTTATGCAAATGAAGTGACTCTTGTTGGGCCCCTAATTAGCTTTAAGATGGAGAACTGACTGCCAGAGGAACCAACCCTGTGATTAGAGGGTTGGAACTTACTGCTGTACCTCCTGATCTCCATCAGGGGCAGATGTCTGGAGATTGAGCTCAATCACCAAAGGCCAGTGACTTCATAGATCATGCCCATGTAATGGAACCTCATTAAAACCCCCAAACAGCAGGGACCTAAGAGCTTCCAAGATGGTGAACACATTTAATGCCAGGAGGGTAGACCATCCCAACTCTACAGGGAAGAGGCTTTTTGAGCTCAGGACTCTTCTAGATCTTGCTTCTGTACTATTTACCTGGCTATTCCTTTTACCCTTTATAATAAACTGAAATAGTAAGTATAGCATTTTCCCGAGTTCTGTGAGTCATTCTAGCAAATTAGCAAACCTGAAGGGGGTATTGTGAGAACCTGTAAGTTTGTAGTCAAGTCAGATGTAAGTGCCAGTAACCTGGGAATTTCATACCTGCTACTGGCAAAGGGAAATGAGGTCACTCTTGTGGGACTGAGTCCTTAGATGTGTGGGGTCTGGTACTAATTAGAGTAGTGTCAAAATAGGATCGAATTGTTCATGTCAGAAAGCTGGAAAACCGGTGTTGGAAAAGACACCACATATTTGGTGTCAAAAACGAGAAGAAGAAGAATAACAAAAACCTGAACCAGTATTCACATTGTCTTGAATATAATATTAAGTTTTATTTTCTTTTTAACTATGAAAGCTCAAGGGCCCAACTACCTAAAATATATACCAAAAATTTCAAGCAAACCTATAATGGCTTTGTTCCCATATTTACTCCCTGCCCCTTGGATTACTTCTGGAGTAGTTGTTCATGTTGTTTGATACACTTGATGTTTTCCTAATGCAGCAATATTTCAAACTTGGTCTTATGATACTTGGAGCTAAGCAGAAAAGTACTGAGAAGATGTTCTAGAAGATATGTTAAAATGTTATCTAATATATTTCAAACAAGTAAAATTTAAAATCTACTGTGCAAAATATGGGGTACTGGGTGGGGAACAAAGGCTATCATGCTACAAAATGCATGTTGATACACAGCTCAAACAGATTTACTCTAACCTAGGTGCTCCTGGTACTAATCTAAGAAAATAAAGTTAAGTGGGGCATTAATGCTTTAGGTTTATTGCCTACAAACCTTTTACAACTACTCTACATATCCCATTGTCTTCCATCTAATGGAATGGAGAATTAGAACAAATCATTTTGTTCTAACAAAATGGATGTCTTCATAGTTCAAAATAAAAATATGAACTCTATTCAGAAAAAATAAATGATTACCATTATACTTCTATTGAGAGTTTAACTTATTTCACAAACAAAAACAATACATGCATTTAAAAGTAAAATATTTCTAATAAAATGATATGTACAAATAAATATTCCCTCATTTTCAAAAAAAATGCTCACTGAAGTCCACAATAAAGTCATTAATAAAGACTTACTGTCATGAAAATGTAATACAATCTAATAGGTTGAAAATTTCAGGTTAGAAGGGAACCTTACATATCTTCAAGGAGAAATAAAATGACCTGTTTAGGATATCAAATAGTTGTAGCCCCCTTAACACATACTAATAAAAAAGAAGAAAAGTAAATGCTGCGGAAACATATTTCTTATTTATGTTAGTGTTTAGTTTATAAAAAGATGAAGCATGCAGTTACATAATTCACAAATAAGTAAGGCTTTGCGACCTCAGTGTTCTGAGACAAGTGTTTTTTCATCATTTTTGGAAACAGAACATATATTAAATTTTTCTTAGAATATAAAAAATTCCTATGAATAGAATGTTCAGGAGTAAAATTTTTATTTCAAGATATAAAATTAGAATGTATTTGATAGTACTGACAATTTTGGCACTATTAATATTTGCTAATTTTATAGGCTTTGATTATGACCATTTTTATCTAATCATTCCATATTGATATATTCTGAGAGTCATATTCTTATATTACTTTATTCAAGGAGTCAAACAGCATACTTTTAGGATCTCAGTTTTAAGTTCAGTTATTTCCAGAGCTCTAAGTCACTTTAAGGACATTCCCTCCATTTTCTCTGTGTCTTGGGGGGACAGGAAGGAGCTAATTATTGGTATCTTTTCTCTCTCAGGCTTCAAAACCAGTTATTAATGTAAACAGGGCATGAGTATGTCTACTTGTGATCTTGAGCCATTTGGACTATTTCTTACCTCCCTAAACTTATAGCAGAGGTTCTCAAAGTATGCTCTGGACCTTTTCAGGGAATCCTAAAGGTCAAACTATTTTCATAATAGTACAAAGACATTATTTGCTTTTCTATTTTCATTCCCTCAAGAATGCAAATTATGAAAATTTCATGATATGGTTTTATATTTTATACTGCACTTAATGTTTAAGAAACTGTCACTATGGAGTTTGGGAGTAGCAAAGAATATCAACAGTAATCGAATAGACTATTGAAATAACCTTCTTGTGTCCAATTACATATCAGTATGAGACTGTTTTTTTCTTCATATACATCAGCCAGAACAGCCAACTGAACAGACTGACTGTAGAAGCAGATGTGAGATTCCGTTACACCAGACAATCCTCTTCAAAAAAAAAAATGTATACCAATATTATTCTCCTTAAGAAACATTTTTCAGTCTCATTTTGGAAAATTCAGCTATATTTAATAAAATGTTATTTAATATAATAAAATTTTCTAACATAGAAATTCAATAGATAAAACCTACCTAAACAAAAGCTCTTTAGGAGTGTATAGGGGTTCTCAGACTGAGTGTTTGAGAACTGTAGGTACAGAAGTGGAGAGTGGAGATGAAGTCTGACTTTTGCAAACTGGAGTCTTTGAAGCCAAGAAATGGAAGATTCTGGCTTCACCAAAGGGTGCTTAGTCAAGACTTACTGTAGGATAATGTGAGCACAACATAGCATCCTCCCCAGAATAAAGTGCACATCATATACCTATTATTTTTTCTTTATGGGCTCAAATATGTTAGTTATCATTAATATTAGCTAATATTCCAACATTTCTGCATCCTAACTGGTGCATCACCTAAAGGTAATCTCTTAACACCTTCAACCACCCTAGGAAAATGCTCAATACCTCTTCAATTTCTTTCAAGAAGTAACCCTAAATTTTCTCATGTGAACATACCATTTTATGAGACAGAACCCACCTGCCAAGGCATTTAAGATTGCAAAACCAAAAGAAGTTTAAAACATATCAGAACCATGTAAGGTAGAAGAGACAGGTTTACTAAGAATGAGTTGTCTTTCTTTTAATACAGGAGGATAAGAATCATACCTATTGAATTTCCCTAAATAAATGTAATCCTTTCAAACAAATCTTGTTTCTTTGTGGAGGAGTGATGTATAGTGTAAATGTTCTAGAATTCCCTAAACTCTCTAGAGAAGGACAATGACAATCTAAAATTATGTAATAATACTTTCTTGTGATATAAAAATTAAGCAAATGGCTCTTCTGCTCTAGTCACAATTCCTAATTTGCAGGATAGACAAAGGAGAAGGTCAGGGGGAAAAATAAGAAGCTGAAATGATTCAAAGTCATAGCACTTTGGAATAATCCTATTTAGAGAAAAATCAGAATATACCAGAACAAGATTACATGTCTGCAGAGCAACAAACAGGAAAAATAACAATTTATACTGGAATATATAATGATTCTAAAAGCTGTTTTGCATATTTAATCTCACTGAATGAACACAAAATAGAAGAATGCTAAGTTGAAAATTATTCACATGTATTCATCTGAGTAGACAAAGTGGGGAGAATACAATAGAGGAAATCCGAACTATAATGGAATTAAACTCTGACATTACTTTTAATGAAGAAAAAAATAAATTAGAGGGTTTTTTCAAACTAGGCAATTGCTGAATTAGAAAATCCAATTT